CATCGTCGGGGGTACATCCTCATCTGTGGTTGTGGCTGTCTGTTGACGTGGCCATCCTCCGTTGACATGGTTGTCGTCCATTGATGTGTAGTCGTCGTCCTTGTCGTCCACTGACTTGTTGTCGTCCATTGTTGTCCCCAGTGGGCGGTGATGGCGACGGTGACGGTGGTGGCTGGTGGTGGCTGTTGGCAAGGGTGGTGACATGGCGTGCCCAGTTGTTGTCAACGACAATGGTGGTGGGAAGACAAACATTGTGGATTGTTTGATGATGCCAAATTGAGCCTCGGCATTTGCCGAGACTCGATTTGGGCATGGGCATATCAATGTTTATTAATATTATTGATTAGTAATGTGTATTCCAGACATTGCATTCTGGTTGCATTCCTTTTTGTCCATTCCGGGGACCATTCCGGCTACTAATCAGGAATGACATCATTCCTGAGGAATATTTGTCCCCCAGAATGTCATTTTGGCTGGTGTCTCTGCCAAATTTGATTCCTCTGGATTCCACAGGAATGACCGGAATCTGGCAGGAATCAGTTGGGCTTGATAAAGACCTCCCTCCAAGGCACAAAAATCCACAACGTCGTGGACATGTAAAACTGTCTGGACGACTACTCTTCAAACCCACAGATCCATGATGCATGCCAGGCCCACAATGCCTGCAAGACATACAATGCCCATTTGTTGTACAGCTTAATGAGGATACAATTTGGAATGTGGGGATGGAGTTGGATGATCGTCAGTTTGTGATGGTGGATGGTGCAAGGATGTTGAAGCCTGTTAAGAAGAAGGAGGATGCATGGTTTGTGGAGCACAGCGGTGGATGGACGTGAGGAGGTGGAGTGTTTCGTCTCATCGTCATCATCATCATCATCAGAGGGAGCCTGCTGATGGTCTTACTGCGTCTCCTGAGGATGTGAGGAGGGCGAGGAGGGAGGTTGGAAAGGGAGAGGGAGAGAAGTGCAGGATCTCAAAGGCTGGAACAGATGCCACTCAGGAACGTGAGGAAGCTGAAGAGCTTGTTCCGTCAAACACCCACAATCTGTCTTTGCTCTTATCACACCACCACACTAGTCCCTACCACTTCTTATCATAAAACACTGGCAACTGCCAGCACAACAATTTGTTAATTGCCTAGGTTTTTTATGAAATAAGATAACATGGCAAACCTTATGAGATGTATCTCATTTCCTTCAAGGTATTATTTCATTTCTATTTCATTTCTATTTCATTTCTGTTTCATATCCATTTCATTTCTGTTTCATATCTATTTCATTCCTGCCTAGCACTATTTTTCATTTCTGCCTGCACTACTTTCCATTTCATTTCTGTTTCATATCCATTTCATTTCTGTTTCATATCTATTTCATTCCTGCGTAGCACTACTTTTCATTCCTGCCTGGGCTGTTTTTCATTTCTTTCCCAGGGTGATATTTTTGGTATTTCATTCCTGCCTGGGCTATTTTTTATTGCTGCCTAGGCTATTTTTCATTGCTTTCCCAGGGTGATATTTTTGGTATTTCATTGCTGCCTAGGGCTATTTTTCATTTCTTTGCCTAGGGTAATAACAGGGTAGGAATTGTCAGGGTCTCTTGCATTGTTGGAGGGTGGTCACATGACCAATTACCAAAAATGGTCAAAAAACGAAACTTGTAGCCCTACACCATAGCTTCCTGAATCTGTTTGAATGATATTCTGAAGTGCTCCCATTGTGGAGATATGAGGTAAAGGAATTTCAGAAGTGTCACATTATTTCAGTATATTTAGAGAGCTCAAAGAAGGGGCTACAATTATTGTATCATGGGAAAAATGACCAAAAAAGGAAGGTGCATGCCCTAGAAAAGGAATTAGACTATAAGAGTCAGATATAGACTACCAAGTTTACTGATAGACTACAAAAAAGTCAGACTTAGACTACACAGTTTACTGATAGACTATAAAAGACTACAAAAGTCAGACTTAGACTACAAAGTTTACTAATACACTACAAAATACTACAAAAGTCTATAGACTACCAAGTTTACTGATAGAGTACAAAAATGTCGGACTTAGACTACAAAGTTTACTGAGACACTACAAAAGACTACAAAAGTCAAACTTAGACTACACATTTTACTGATACACTACAAAAGACTACAAAAGTTGGACTTTGACTCCAAAAGCTTGGACTCAGACTACAAAGTTTGGTTAGGGTCAAAATTGAGACTACAAAAGCTTGTAGTGTGCGCTTTTTCATTAGAAAATTTTGTAGTGTCTGCTATTTGAGCATACAAAAGTTTGTAGTATCTGCTTTTTGAGACTACAAAAGTTTGTAGTGTCCGCTTTTAAGACTACAAGTTGCCATGTAGTTTGTGGTGTCCTTGATCCTGTCTAAGTTATGGTGATGAGGTTGAATGATTGACATTCATTAGAAAAGTTTGTAGTGTCCACTTCTTGAGACTACAAAAGTTTGTAGTGTGCGCTTTTTTATTAGAAAAGTTTGTAGTTGACATGTAGTTTGTGGTGTCCTTGACATTATGGATTGACATATTGCCATTGCTGCAGCATTAGTTTTTTACATTATGCACAAGTTGTCTTTCACATTAGGATCAAAGAGCTGTATCAAAGTTGACTATGTTTGGGACAGGCCAGTATCAATGTGAAAGCAGACAGTGTGAAAGCCAACTTGGTCATGATGTCAAAAACTGGTGATGTGATGTCAATCCTTCAGCCATATCCCCACATGAACTTATAATTATGTTTTAAGATAGGACAGTAGGTATCAATCAATATGAAAGGCTTAGAATGGCCTTTCCTAATGTGAAAGACAACTTGTGCATGATAATGCTGCAGCACTGGCAATATGATGGCAATCCTTCAACCTCATCCCCATAACCTACATAGGGCCAAGGACACCATAAACTACATGTCAACCACAAACTTTTTTAAATGAAAATGCAGACATTGAAAACTCTTCTGATATTCTTTAGTGGTCTAAAAAAGTGGACACTACAAACTTTTCTAATGACAAAAAGTGGACAGGACAAACTCTTCTAATGGCTCTCATGCTCTCTTTTGCATATAATTCCTCAAACTGAATGGAATACATAGGGTCCCTGCAGTGTATCTGTATATTCCCTAGCCATTTTCCCATCAAATGTGTGCCATGTATGGGATGGATGGGCATAGAGCTAGGTTGACTTTGGATAACCTTTTAGTCCTAACCCTAACTATGTAGTCTAAGTGCAAGGTGTTGACTTTTGTAGTCTTTTACAGTGTATCAGTAAACTTTGTAGTCTAAGTCTGACTTTTGTAGTCTTTTGTAGTGTCTCAGCAAACTTTGTAGTCTAAGTCCGACATTTTTGTACTCTATCAGTAAACCTGGTAGTCTATAGACTTTTGTAGTCTTTTGTAGTGTATTAGTAAACTTTGTAGTCTAAGTCTGACTTTTGTAGTCTTTTGTAATCTATCAGCAAACTTTGTAGTCTAAGTCTGACTTTTGTAGTCTTTTATAGTCTATCAGTAAACTGTGTAGTCTAAGTCTGACTTTTTTGTAGTCTATCAGTAAACTTGGTAGTCTATATCTGACTCTTATAGTCTAATTCCTTTTCTAGGGCATGCACCTTCCTTTTTTGGTCATTTTTCCCACGATACAATAATTGTAGTCCTTCCTTTGAGCTCTCTGAATATACTGAAATCATGTTGTTTGGTTTTGTTTTCATGGTAAAAAACACAAAAAACAAAAAACAAAAAACAAAAAACAAAATGTGACACTTCTGAAATTCCTTTACCTCATATCTCCACAATGGGAGCACTTCAGAATATCATTCAAACAGACTTGGGAAGCTATGGTGTAGGGCTACAAGTTTCGTTTTTTTGACCATTTTTGGTAATTGGTCATGTGACCACCCTCCAACAATGCAAGAGACCCTGACAATTCCTACCCTGTTATTACCCTAGGCAAAGAAATGAAAAATAGCCCTAGGCAGCAATGAAATACCAAAAATATCACCCTGGGAAAGCAATGAAAAATAGCCTAGGCAGCAATAAAAAATAGCCCAGGCAGGAATGAAATACCAAAAATATCACCCTGGGAAAGCAATGAAAAACAGCCCAGGCAGGAATGAAAAGTAGTGCTACACAGGAATGAAATAGATATGAAACAGAAATGAAATGAAAAGTAGTGCAGGCAGGAATGAAAAATAGTGCTAGGCAGGAATGAAATAGATATGAAACAGAAATGAAATGAAAAATAGCCTAGGCAGCAATGAAAAATAGTGCTAGGCAGGAATGAAATGGATATGAAACAGAAATGAAATGAAAAATAGCCTATGCAGCAATGAAAAATAGTGCTAGGCAGGAATGAAATAGATATGAAACAGAAATGAAATGAAAAATAGCCTAGGCAGCAATGAAAAATAGTGCTAGGCAGGAAAGAAATAGATATGAAACAGAAATGAAATGGATATGAAACAGGAATGAAATAGAAATGAAATAGAAATGAAATAATACCTTGAAGGAAATGAGATACATTTCATAAGGTTTGCCATGTTATCTCATTTCATAAAAAACCTAGGCAATTAACAAATTGTTGTGCTGGCAGTTGCCAGTGTTTTATGATAAAAGTGGTAGGGACCACTCACCACCAAGTGGTGAAAGCCCTCCTGGAGTACACGAGTACAAGTGGCGCATACTGTCACATGTCTCTTAAGTGATCTGGAACTCTCAGTGCAGTCGCCTCCGCTACAGGAGGAGCTGCTCGAGCATTTCTTGAACATTATTGGGAATGATCGATGATCAGTGAGGTTGGGATAAGCCAGAACCACTGTCGCTGTCACTTCAGGTACGCATTTGTATTACTATTGAATGACCAAGCTGATGTTTCGTTCAGGACCTCAGTGACCACATGCAAGGAGTGTCAATCCCACTGCACAAGTACACCTGTACATCCACTCCCTCTTGATCCGGCCCAGCAATCGCGATCCCTCCTCCGTTTGAAGCCTCACTGCCTCAACCTGCGGATACACTCACACCCTACTTTGACTTTGCACTCAAGCCAAGAAGGAGGCAAGCATGGCCAGAACGAAACCTCACGCACCTGCCCCCATCTCCCCTTCTTCCACCACTGCTTCCACATCTAGGTCAACAACAAAAATCAACACCTACAGCTCCTCCATTGCAAGAAGTCCAGTTTCTGGGCCTTCCAGCCTCCCACCTTCACCTTCGCCATTCTCTTTCGCATCATGGGCATAGCCATGTAGGGAACCACCACCAAATCAACCCCAGGGATATCCCCTTTGTATGACGCAGCAGCCACCTTCGCAAACCTCACTGTTCCACCTTCGTCACGCCCCACTGTTGCGGGTGTTCATGCCCTCTATTGAGAGTGACTGGCTTCCGAATCCCAGGGGTCACATGCACTCGGTCAATAATCTGATCCTACACATCAATATTAGTCCTTGGGGAGAGGGGATTGCTGCAAATTTGCTGCTGCTGCGAGATCAGATCAGAACTGAGACCTGCATATCGTTCGGACTCTTATCGGCTGATGAGGCCCTCGCGCATACCACAAGATGCCTATTGTAATGTAGTACGTTGAGTTTATTGGTCGTTGTTCTCCATCTGCCACTGCCACCACACAATGCCTCTGGTCAGACGCAAGTTCCACGAATACACATCCCTGGTATGGCACTATTGTTGTGGAGATGGAGGGGACAAATGAAGCTCTGGCCGTCCTCCAAGAATGGTGTGGTCCTGGTGTATTTCCATCTTGCCCAGGTTGTAATGCACATCGCCCCCTGCTTGGTTTGAGAATATGAAGGTTTCCCCAATTCTGAGATGGCAAAGGTACTCCTCATTGATCCTTGTCTTTTAAAATGATTTGAATTGACAACTATGTTCTGACAGATGTCCAGGCAAGATTTGGATAGGGGCTGTTAGGTGAAAGAGATAGAGAAACCTAGGACTCCCCTACTAAGCATTGTCCTGTTTACCCAAAGAATGATTGGTTGGAAGTAATGCACTCCTTTGTATCATTCTACATTGTAGTTCTTAATTTATAAGGCGACACTAAAAGTCCACCTATACCCCACTCCACCTCCCCAGTGTACTCCATTGTACACCATTCAAAGTTAAGTCATCTCAGATGACACGAGCTTGTCAATCCTACATTTCTCATTATTATTTGGGAGCTGAAGGTACTCTAGATAAAGAGCACTGGGCTGTAGCCAAATCATAGGGTGGATGGAGCCCAGGATGATGCTGTTCCGTGAATGAGCAGCCATAGATGTAGTCCTAGTCCTAGCCCTACAAGGTGTGCAATTGCCTTGCACACCATTTGCTAATTGATGTGCAATGTCCTTTGCCTACTTTTGCTTGCATTCTGCTCATCTTTGAAAAATCACCCCAGGGGGGAATTTTTTGGTTTTTTTGGGTGAAATATCAATATCTGGCATCAGATATGATAGAAAAATCAAAAATAGCTTGCTAATGTTTGAAATCTGTTCTATTTTTGGATCCAACATGTTTGTGATGATCAGTATTGATGACTGGTATGTTTTCCTGTATCCTGTGTATGTTTCTCTTGCCAAAAGAGCATCCACATATGTTTTTTCCATGTCAAAATCCCTCTGAAAAAGCTGCATTTCACCAGAATATTTCAGTTATGATAATTCTCATTTTTCTCCTTCAAATTTAATGTTACAGCCACTCAGAGCTACCAAGTGATGTAGAAATATATTTCTGATTTTTTCCAAAAATTTCCACCTCAATCAGAGATGTGGAGATGATGGATGCACAAGTCATGTTCTGGATGACCTTTTCCAAGTAACAAACAATCATCAGCAAAGCCAGCTTTTGAGAGGAAAATCATGGAAATGCATTTTGGAAGGTGTCATTCATATTATTGATTGTATCAAGCTCATATTTCCTCAGTTGCAACTTGTTTTTGACATATCATATGACTTTTGGTATTTTTATTGAGCAGCATTTGGATGGATGGCTCGAGTTCCAGCTAGATGACATTGTGAAAGGCATTGCCAAATAGTTGCAAATAGCTGCCTTCCTGTGGCCAGATCCTCAAAAGGCACACTATTCATTCTTCACACCTAAATTTAATAAAACATAAACATTCTGGTACTCTACAAGTAGAATACAGCCCGATTTTTCATCTTTCACCTTCATGGCACCCTCGCAAGTAGATGGATGCGACGTAGTGAACTCGGATGACATGTTTGAAGCTTCAGACAAATAGATGCAAACTTCCCAAACCCATTGAAAACACTGGAAATACAACTGACATTGAGCAAGGAGAGGAAGGCAACATTACTCTGGCAATGGTAATACATCTTAGCATGGTTAACTTACAACTTTTATCTCGAACTTTCATCAGAAGTTGGCTAAAAGTTGCAGAGAAATGAGTACTATCTCTCTTTTTCAAGATAAAAAACATATCAATTCAGCAATTTGTAATTTAAAACCTGCCAGCTATAGTCTAATAATACCTGTAGCATAAGTGAAACAATATTAGGACATGAATTGTTAAGTTTTGAGTGAAATAACACACCTGAAAGTCTTGTTCCCAATTTTCAATTTTCAGGAGGGTTTCAAAACATACAATTGTGTTGGCAAACCTTTCTCTGCTTGCCTAATACTCAGGGAATCAAATTCAGATAATCTCAGCTAGGTAGGTGGATACCAGTATGAAATTCTTGAGGGCTGTATTCACTTTGATAATGAAGGATTTGTTGTGAGAGTCCTTGAATAGAGTGTATTTTGTCTGATATAAACTATACTGTGTTCACAAAAACCATCCAATGGCCAAGAAATTTATATGAATATCTTCAGAATGAAAACTTGAATGGATTCACAAAGTTTCATAGAAATCAGAGGATTGTGTGGATACAGGTAATGGGAATAGGTGCAGAGGGTCACAATAAAGCAACTGAAAGTGCCGGAATCTCAGTTGTAGATTGCAATTCATCTGACTTTTACTCTCTGCCCAGTAAATGCATAATGCTACCTTTCTCAAATAGTAGTATTGCCCTTCAGAACCTCTAAACACATTTTTCCATATTTTATTTCATCCAATAACAAATGCGTGAGCGAGTTGCGCAGCTCTCCATCAATGCTCGGCATCTTCCGAGCATTGTTGATGGGTGGGTTTGGTATGCCATGTCGACACCTGGTCGACACCATCTCCACCATTACATCTTGCCTTCTGTTCAACAAATGGCTCACTGTTGGTCCACTCTCACTCCAATCACAGAACCGTCCCTCAAATCCAACATCCCATTCGAGTCATCGCCTATTGAGTGCCCGGCCCTCAGCGTTTGCGCAGAATCAACCACCTCGCCATTCAGGATTCCAACGGACTTGGGGAAGTTCGCTAGACATGAACTCCAGGATGGTAAGGGCCTATCCTACTCAAGCACCATTCATACCTCACTTGATTCTCGATGCCAACAGCACCACCAATTGTCTGACGTGGCATGCCAATGGTCCATCTGGGCATGCCACGTTGATGTCAACCCTCATGGCGTCAACGTCCATGACACCAAGGCCCAACGATGATGATGATCCACCATTGAAAGCCCACCACCACCAGCGAACAACAATGGGTCACATGTGCCCACTACTCACAGACGTCCACCTTGCATTACCACATGAAGGGTGACAAGCACCCATTACCAGTGTCACTAAAAGGTCAGTTCACATCCCCTCACTCCCATTCCCATGATCACACACAACCCAGTTGACACGTCGCTGATAGCGACATGGCAACCAGACGTTGGACAACGCACATTCTTTGTTTGTCATCATATGACAAGGAACAGCCAACACGCTAACGGACAGCCAACATGCCAGCAGACGATGAACACGACAATGGACAATACGACAACGACACAGGACAACATCAGCAGACAATGACAACGACGACACGGGACAACATCAGTGGACAATGACAAGGAGGAGGAGGCCACAGGACGACGACGCGACATGGGATGAGTACAACCCAACGACAATGATATGGCATGACGACAACCCAATAACAACGTGGAATGAAGATACGAACAGCATGGGACGACCAGTGAATGACACTGACACACAATGCCCATGTCCCGCCACTCCTCCTCTCTACTGGCACCTACCCACACCATCCTCCCTGGATGCCCCATCTTTCTCCGTGCAAAGCTGGAACCAGACAATGCTAGCATCACTTGCCTGTGGTGCCCCAGAAGGCCGGAAGATTCTGCACATGGGTTCAAGGCTCACACAACAACACCAGACGGCAAAATGGATGATGACAAAGCAACTATGTCACAGGATGATGCCTACAGGATGATGACACAAGTCGACGATGGGTTCTGAGGTCATTGACAGCTGGTCTACATGTTTCTTTTCAAATTATATATTAGCACATCCTTTTTACACAGTTTCTTTCCCTATATGTCGTGTAGTAGGCTAGCTACCTTTTTCTTAAGTGTTGTTTACAACTGTGTACCAATGGCGTCTAAGGCCCAAAGTCATCCAAAAACGGTTTGTCCCATCCAGCTCAATTTGGTCAGATTTGATAGAGGGAAACTATTTGAAGGTGTCAGAACATTAGAAAATATATATATGGTAAAGTTTCAGATGTTGTTTCTATGAGGAACAAAGCTGTAGGGCACAAAGAATCTCCTCAGAACACACTTTCAGAATTGTTTACAATTGTTGTGCAGGAGCATCAATTCCCAAAGGTCATCCGAAGTTGGTTGACCCAATCCATCCATTTCCGACATACCGATGCATGAGGAACCAATTCCACTAAATGTAAATAAAACACAGGATATATTTGGAATGATTTACAAGGCTTTTTTGTGGGAGAAACATATGCAGAAGCAAAAATATCATTGTTGAGCCCAGAACAAAGGTTTGTTTGCAGATATTGACATATTGGCTGAAAAACAAATACAGAACATCAATGGATAATCAGGAATACAGCCAAGGGTGCCCTCTGAATATATCAGTAGATTTGTTTTCCGATGTTTTGTGACCTTTTCAACAGAGGAACTTTTACTTTTATATATTTGAAGGGAAATAAGAGACTATTGATATATGTTTATGAAAAGCCTGCCCCAACAAATCCCAGGCCAGCCCAGGTGCCAATGCATGCTGCAGACCCCTAGCTTGAATGCATGGTTAATGGCAAAGCATTAAGTGCAATAATGTGGGTGAGTAGGGCAACAACTACAGCCAGGGGTGGAATGAGACACATGGCTTTTTATCTTGATTTTGAACTCCTACATCCATCATGCCTACTACCAGCATACGAACTACAGCACAAAGTCGCGACAGTGGTCCTCACGCATCTAACAGATCATATCACCTGTCATGGTTTTGGTGTTTTGGCTGAATTCAGACGCATTAGCTGGTTCTTACAAATGAAGACTTGAGTGACTCTTCACTCCCAACCTCTCAATGATACCGGTGTTACCACTATGAGATTGCCTAGTGTCCTCTACCTAATCCCATTGATTGCACCCCAGCCGCAATCCCCTCCTATGCCCTCCAGAAGCATTGAATCCATCGCAGGCCTATTATCTCCCCCTCCTGTTGCTCTACGTCTTTCCCAACTGACCTCTGACCAAGTTCTGGCACACTTTCCTATTCGGGCGGTCTCTTCAGATTCACCATCTAATACCTCTGCTCTTCTCAGATCAGCTGTATCCAGCGCATTCAACTTGCCAAACAGTATGACGCCTAAAACCTTTCACTTGAGGGATGCCACACCAGACCCATTGATAAGTGCACGTGCTTGTTCTATGCATGGATCCTGCATTCCACATATTTTCACGCCCATGCGAATATTGCGCACACATGTCTCCTACAGGTCCTATCATTTTCACAAACCTTTGGACACCTTCCACATCATTCACGCATTGTCAACGCGCTCACGTCATCAGGTTCCGAATGTTCTGCACACACGTCCACCATCTCCAAAGATTCCACCATGTGTTCACGCATCACACACAAATACACTTCCAAATATTCGGCACTATCTACACATGGACTATGACACATTTGCAGAAACCTTTGCACATCTGCCCACACGTATCCCCTCATGCTCCGAACGTCCTAGGCACACTATGACGCATCCTCAAATCCTTTCCTGCACACTCCGAGAATTATCCGTCAATTTTCCGTTCGCGTCCCGATATCCGTTCAGAGACCTGCAAGACCTGATCTGGACAAGGTCAGCTGTCCCTCTATCTGTTTTGTATGATGTCATTGCACATTCGTGCCTTCTGATTATTTCTCCACATTTTGCGTTCATTTATCTTTTCTTGCACCTTATGACCTTTCCTTTTGTTCTTTTACTCCTTTAGTACTTTTTGAATTTCAAACTATTTGCTTTGAAGTATTTCGACTTATTTGTAGTTTTTTTTTGGTATAAAAATCCTGTACTTCAAAAGAAAAATACAAGTTCTGCTTCACCCCACAATTCACATCTTGTCTTTGGCTGACAATCGGTTCAGCACTTCGTCGTAACCTTTGCTATCGTCTTGCATGCCATGTGCACTCGTATTATTTGCATCACCACTTATCCGAAACTTATCACCTTCGCAAACGTCCCCAACCACTCTCTCACTTCACTCTCTCCTTTGGACACATTCTCCTTTATTAGGGGTTGTGTCTACTCTACTTCACTCACTTTGAGACGACCGAAGGACCTCTGTCTCGCACTTTCAGAGCCACTCAGAGCAATGCTAACCTACTCCGAAGCTTTTGTTTTTGTTTTGTTTTGTGTTTTGCATCTCGCTGACACATCCACTGTGTTGCAGGTGCATCACTGTCAGGTGTCTGCCAAGGGCTAATCAAAGACTTGGATATCACAGGTCTTGGTGAGCGACAACAGCCTCACATTGCACAGATTTCCGAGTTTTACATGGAATTTACAGGTGTCTGAGTAATGTTCTACGTGACGAGCCTCCTCACATGTCGGACAGCAACCTCACCATATTGTCTCAGATCGCTTGACTGATAAATGGGATTTTTCATGCAGTTATAAATGCATGTGTTTCAGGTAGTGATGCGAAAGGTTCGTAAATTGCACATCTCTTCAAATGCAGACCAACTAAACAAACATTTGTAAGGTTCATCCTGGGTGACCTTGTTCACTTTCGTTGCTCTCCTGGTATCAGCAATAGCACAAGCAGCGAACCACTCCATCTCCCTCTACAATACTATCATTGTTTTATATTTTTGCTACCTTCAACTCATTTGCAAGCTCATGCTAGTCATTGGATCCATGCAGAAGAGAAGTATGGGGGCCCCAGTGTCCGAGGTTGGCCTCCCTGCAAAGGTGGTCTTTCGTTACCACATTGGTCTTGGCATGGCTTCAGGCTTTATGTTTGGGTTCATGCCAGGAGGTTTGGATCCCAGCCGGAGTGCAATGTGGCTACCAAATTAATAGTCTTCAGAAGGGAGCTTTCAGCGACTGGTTTGGGGCGGTATCCCTTGGTGAGTAGCATGCCCATAACCAGTCAAGGACTGTTGATAATACTCCTGAAGTTTTCTTCGGTATCAGTGCTATGGTGATTCTAAGTGTCCCAGTGATTACACTCGCAGGAGTTGGTTTTCTCTTGGTATTCTTGATCAAAGCCTTCCATCCGCTCATTGGCTCATACTGCCTTTCAGCTGGCCCACGCACTTCCTTCATAAAAATCCTCTTTGTAAATATCTACATCATGTTCTGTTTTGTCGTCCAATGGATTTACGTGGTCATGACTATTGAGCAAACTATTCAGCGGAATCCAGTCATCCATAATGGCCCACAGTTTCCGATTACATTTGGCCAGGTTTGTTGTTCCTTTCATGTTGACTATTACGTTTGTTGAAACTCCTCAAAGATTTTCCCGGTCATAACAATCGGTGCTTGCCTTGTCTCCATTTACAATGATCTGCGAGAGTCTCGACGAGAGCCACCAATTAGTCAAGGCAATGATCCCAACAGCCCAATCAAACCAGATGTATAACTATGAAGGTGGGCATCTTATCACTGAGATGGAGCTGCTAGCTAAATACATTGCTAGTCCCAAGGGGCATTTTCAGGATTAATGTAGCCAGAAAAGCTACATGGAATTTTTTTTTCATTTGTCCAATCCTGAACAGCACACTCTGCTCGCGCTTGGGTGTCTTTTGTTTAAGGTTCTGGGAGTGTCGATGTTCGAGTTCCAATCACCTAGTGTTATGGATCATCAGTTGATAAAGTCCTTTTTGACAACTCTTTGATAGTTGAACCGATTTTTGCTTAATTTCACAGAATGAACTTTGGATGTGTCCTTTTTTTCCTAGTGTAATTGTGACTCTAAATTATTTCTGATGAATCCTTCCTATTGTTCTCAGCTGCTTTAACACCAAAAATTCTGATGTGGCTTGTTATATACAGTCAAAATATCCATCGTATCCAACCACTTTGTCTGCCATTTATTGACCACCCAACAACCACCCAAAAGATGTGGCTTGGATGCAGCAACAGAATGCGCCTAATCCTCCTTCTCCTGTTCAACCAGACACCACCTATTACATCATCATCTCCCTCTCCCCCCTGCCGCCGTCAACCCTTCAATCCTCTGTTGAAGTTGCTGTTCTTGGGTTTCAGCCTCCTGATCGCTTTGAGGATCACGTGATGGAGACTGAGTCAACAGAACTCCGAATGGTCATCTCAGACCTGCGTTCACCTTCAATGTTTGCCTCCTCTCCGTCCTGCAATGTCTGTCGAGAAGTTGAGACTAATGTGCCTTCTCTGGCCAGATGACAAGCCTGATGAACACATTGTTGAGGTCGAACTAGATAACAACTGGACTGTCGCCTTTCTCAAGGACATGATCAAAGACAACCATGCCCATGGTCTTGCTGACGTCGATTCCTGCAATCTCGTCCTCTGGAAGTGCTCCTGTATTCCTGATGATGATAATCTAGAACAAACCTTGAAAACTCTTCAGTTCGATGGTTCTGATGAGCGCCTTGTTCGCCTCACCTCCACCCACCAACAAATTTCTCAATATTTCAGGGATCAAGACTTATCCAAGGAACCCATCCACATCCTTGTTGAGTTACCTGCATTTGGTGGGTGTGGTTATCTTGTCCACTTTTCCAACTTACCTCAACCGCATGCTGACAATACCGCCTTCTACTCGCTTTTTTCTGCTTGTCCTTGTTCCCCCCATATTGTTGTGTTTTTGAACTTCACTTCAACAACTTGTCTTATTGCCACACATCTCATAACCTCCCATTGTCTCGATTATCTTTCTGTGACCACTGACCACTCCATCTTTCGACAGAGTCTCCACCTCCGAGTCACAAAGAACTTTGTATTACATCGCCGTCTCCTGACCTGCCATGTAAGTACCATTCATAACCACAATTTTGCCTAGACTTACAGGGGCCTTAGCGAATACAGTGGAGCATAGTAACACAGTTTCAGCGATATATCAAAAGCTGAATTTACATCGCTTCATCCAGGTATCGTTGTGATTTTGAATATTGTACAATGTTTTCTGAGTTCTTGCAGGTTCTGCAATGCTTCTTGGTCAGTACATCCGTGTTCAAGAACCCAATGTGCGTGTTATTTGGACTGGTGGATGGAAGCTTGATGATGTGGCAGAGTGCAGGGGATGGTATTCTTACCTCAACAAGCGAAATGGGTGGATACCAGGTGAGGGCACTGTGTTTATTTTTGATGAAGCACAAGAGTCGTACAAGGACATGGAACTCTGGAACGAGTTGTTCAAAGGCATACATGACTACCCTGATCATCGCGCCATTGCCTTCATGAGTTATGGCAGTCCAGCTTCATTCATCGACATACAAGGCACTCGATTTTACATCGCATCTACAGCGAGGGTCAGTTTACTTCCCACTGCCCACGAGGACAATCTCCCAGCTGTGGGTCTCCTTTTCACCCCTGTGGAGTTTGACGAGCTTGTTTCAAAGAACTATCCAGACTCAGACTATCACTTCCATCCTTCTTTCCTCAACATGGTCTTTGAGATTACCGAGGGACACGTGGGGGCAATGTATTCCTTCCTGAACATTATTCTTGGATCTAACGTAATGTACTTTCTTGTCAACAACCTGTTAAAAACTGATTTTATCTTCCAGTCATACCATGAACTCAAACACTCTGGACAATGTTACACTTGGGAGCTATTTCAGAAAACGGTCAGTCCAACCTGGTTCTTGCAACAGTTTGAAAGTGCAGCCTCCAGCGTATTCAGGAGGGGACTGCCTCCAGATGACGATCTCAGGGTGCCAGCTGTCGCTTGTGTCCTTTCCTTGGTTCTTTGTACAGGTTCTGTGCAGGATGCCAACTTCACTACTGAAGACAACAGCAGTGCACTTCAGCTATGTTTTAGCAAAGGTTGGCTTCACACCGACAACATTGACAACAAAACCAAGTACTTTTTCCTGTCGTCACTTCATCGCTGGTATATAGAATGGAAGCTGTGTGGCATCTTGGATACAACCTTCCACACAGACAATGATATTCTAGACTTTGTGATCAATGTGATTTCTGTATTCTCATCACAAATGCTTTCGACAACACAGAGAGTTAGCGCCGCTGGTCATGTTCAACGTCTACCTGGAGCTCAATACCAGGATGAATTTTACCATTGCTGTCACACTCATTCCAATGGCTTGCTTGTCACCTTCCCCATATTTGGTACAGCCAAAGAGCGGGTCAAATTTTACATTCCTGCTAAACAATGGGGGGTGGAACTTCTGCGAGATGATGACCAGATTGCACAACATTCTGGGCAGTTTTCATTCCAAACTGGGTCCTATGGAACCTCTCTTTCTCTGACAGACCACATTATCCTCGATTACCATACAACCCAACCCAAAGTACATCACCCATGTAGGAACATTTATTTACGTCTATCATCATCTCCTATACTTAACTTCGCCTTTTCCGCTGATCAGACCTTCAAAAACATATTGTTTTCAATGATGCCTTCAGTCAAGTGAAGATTCTAGACAATGAGCTCAAGGTAGTCCCCAGTGGAGAATTCATGTTATGTACCTAAATTAGTTCCACTGGAGTCAAAGATATACAGTTGGTCTTCTCATACATTTGAAACTTTTGAATTTCCGGCGTGCATGCATTACTTGCTTTGCGGTTTGATGAAGAGGAGGGAGAGGGATATTGATGGACTTTTTTGAGCATGGAATTTGGATGACGTCGAGCCTCGTGACATATCGGAAACACCCTTGTGATCTCTCTGAATCTTCGATAATCAGGTCTCCCAATCAGGTTTTGCGTTCAATGTACTGGGTATCAAAAGAAAGCCAAACAAAGAAAAGAAATAAAATAGAAAGAATCTGCTCAAATATTCTCGACATTACATTGTGTCCAGATTATTTCACAAAGCATGGCTTGAATTCTTTTAGAGGTAACGCTGCTCGGAGTTAGCCAAATTTTTCGCAGAACCTATAACATCTCTTTGAGCTTCAGATTTTTTTTAAAGTCAAGAATTGTTTGTGTCCCGTCAATGACGGCTTCCGGGAATTATGGTCCAGCGTTGTCGTCACGTGCATGTGACTAATGTCAGATAACTTTTGGGGGTGGCAGATAACTTTGGCCTCAAATTCTCTGCATTGGCCACATGAAACTTTCAGCTCTCTAAGAGTAAATCATAGCTTACAACTGTGAATATGTACATGTCTAAGTTCAGCAGCAGAGGTATTGTATCCATTGAGAAACATGTAAACTACAAAATTTCGGGCTTTGTCAGGCAGATAACTGGCAGATAAATACCCAGTACAATGATCGGTAAGCCCCCAATCGGTCTCATTCTTCACTCTGCCTGTCATGCTTTTCTGCTGCTATATCTCTCGGAATCGCACATTACCATTCCCCCGCAAAACGTCTTTAGGCGCACCCATGTCGGCTGTAGCCGAAGTACTCACGCCGCCTTAATGCGACGTATCCGCATGTCCCAACATTTTCCATCATCTGCGCCTCTTCCCCTGCCACTCACAACGTCATGCCACAATGAAAAGGCCTGCATACACGTAACCGAGCGGCTGCAGACACGGTACACCCCCTTGTCCCCGCTTGATGGAGCAATTGCGTGGAGATTCTGCTTCGTACACTACGCCACGCGACTTGGTTATGAGGAGGAAATCGTGGTTTGAAGGAGGAGGATGGTGTGGCCATTGAAGGTCTTGCGGATCTGTATGTGTAATGCGCAAGTTCTACCCATTTTCAGCTTTGTAACCGTCAGTCCATCACTTTCACAGTCCCTCACGACTCCGCGTATCCCATAAACGCTCGTCGATCTCTTCTAAGACTTTAAGTCAGCTGTAGGAACCTCGATTTGCTTCATCTTCCCCAAGTGTATGTTATTTGTGTCCGACGTCACCTCAGGCCCAGATCACATCTTAGCGCTCAGCCATCAGTTCAATCCGCGGTCAGAGAAAAGTGAACTTTGGTTACGGCACTGTCACAGTGTCACTGTGTGCCCAATGAATCCAATGAATGCACAGGTTGCACAGCAGATGGTTCGAGTGCCTGCCGAGTCTTTCCCTGGCGCTGAAATGGCGCCTACTTAACGCTTGGCTGGCGCCTGATAAACGTTATTATGTATTCATTTAGATACTCAAGGCGGTTCTAAGGTATGTCATGTCAGGCTCGGGGGGTAACAATAGCATTTCTGACGGAATTATGGCAGTAATATGGACAACTCGCTTGTCCTACTTATGGATGTAAGTGAACCAGGGTTCCTTACGAGATAAACTTCCCCACCCCCCTCTTTCTCTCCCCAACCGACAACGGTGAACGTTACATACGACGCATGTGAGTTTGCCCTTCCCGGTGACTGAATAAAAAGATCCTATCCGACTTACGAACCTCAAATTCACCAGCTGCCTCGTTAGTCGTCACTGATGATAACATTCCATATGTTTACAGCCCCGGTGACATCGCTTGGGTGTTGGCATCGACCGCGCTTGTATGGATCATGATGCCAGGTGTTGGCTTCTTCTATTCTGGGCTTTTGAGGTAAGCACCTTCGACACTAGGCGAGAAAACGATTATGACCTTTCCTAGGCAAAAGAATGCGCTCTCTATGATCTACCTTAGCATGATGACATCGGCTGTCGTCTCTTTCCAAGTGAGCACACTTGCTTGACCTTCTTCTATGGCAGATTTCTAACCGCAACTTAATTACAACAGTGGGTCTTCTGGGGATATTCTTTGACATATAGCAGTACTGCAAACGCGTTCCTCGGCAATCTCAGTGAGTACTCCATATTGGTCTCTCTGTAGTGCGGGAATTAACGCACGATTTCGACGAAAAGAAAATTTTGGGTTGAAGGGTGTGCTAGGCAAACCGTCAATTGTTAGCGCACGTATACCTTCTATTGTCTTCTGCGTGTATCAGCTCATGTTCGCGGCATTCACGTGAGTTATAACACATATATTATCTGGGAAACCTACCGTAGTACCGACGGTGACTGCCGCAGGCCTATGATCGCGGTGGGCGCATTCGCTGAGAGGGCTCATCTTGGACCTCTCATGGTGTTCGTTTTCGTCTGGGCTACCATTGTGTATGACCCGATTGCCTGCTGGACGTGGAACACTAATGGCTGGGTGTCTGTTCTGGGTGGTCTCGATTTTGCAGGAGGGACACCTGTGCACATTTCTTCTGGTACTGCCGCCCTCGCCATCTCTATCTACCTCGGACAACGTCATGGGTACGGTAGCGAGGAACTTGTGTACGAGCCCCACAATACCACCTACGTCGTTCTTGGTACCGTTTTCCTCTGGTTTGGCTGGTTCGGTGAGCTGCTGTTGCAAAATTCAGTTGTTTCGGCTGAATAATTGCTCGATGTCAGGTTTTAACGGCGGTTCAGCGCTTAGCGCTAACCTGAGAGCTGCACAGGCTTGTCTGTCCACCAACGTCGCCGCCAGCGTTGGCGGTCTCACTTGGATGCTCTGGGTCGGTGATTAAAAACATTCAACAAACCTTTTTTTCTAACTTTCCGTCACATTTAATTAGGATTATCGTATTGAGAAAAAATGGTCCGTTGTTGGCTTTTGCTCCGGTGCTATTGCTGGCCTCGTAGCAATCACCCCTGGATCCGGGTTTGTGGGTTCCCGTGAGCGCCTTGCAGTTGCCATCCCATCCCGCTCATATTTATAAATAGCTGCTGCGATCCTATTCGGTGTCACGGCGGGCACTGTATGCAATTTTGCCACTCAACTAAAATTTTTGGCTGGTTACGATGATGCATTAGATGTTGGTATCACTTCGTCTACAAAAAAATGAGAATTTACTGATTCTTTCTACAGATTTTCGCCTCTCATGCTGTTGGCGGTTTAGTCGGCAACATTCTGACTGCACTCTTTGCACAAGCCAGCGTCGCTGGAAGTGATGGTTACACCATAATTCGAGGTGGTTGGCTTGACCACCATTACGCACAATTGGCCATCCATCTCGCCGATTCCGCTGCAGGCATGAGCTACTCGTTTGTCATGACCGTAAGCTATCTATGACCGAATTTTAGATTGAACCTCATATGATTGTCACGTACTTAGACCCTCATACTCTGGGTCATGGACCGCATTCCAGGTCTGCAGTTGCGGGTGCATAACGACACCGAAATTGTAGGCATCGACGGATGCGAAATTGCAGAACCTCCATACAACTATGTCAGTCTTGGGTCCGAGCTCAAGCCCTCACCGTCCGATCCTGTCACTGATAATGTGGAGCCTGATCGACGCGGGGAGAACGATTGATTTTAATTCTAATCTCATGTACATTAACGTTTCTTGAATGCCTAATAACAGAAAGACAGGTTGCTTAACGAGCACAGTATGGATTTCTCGAGCTTCAATTTCGTCCTACAGTGCCCCCACCCCAAAGAAAAAGTTATGTTTCTGAGGTGGACAATTTTTCCGCTACAACTCCGGCGCGTTTACAGTCTTCCTCGCATTCTTGCACGCTTTTGTCCGAAAGCCAGTCATCCTCGATAGAGGGCACGAACAACCGCAACAGCGGAGCACGACGAAGGCGGAACAGTGGGACCGAAAGGCAAGACTAGTTTGCAAAAGCGTCCGCTGCGTCATACCAAGGGGATATCCCTGGGGTTGACTTGACTATTCGGTGGTGGTCGTCCCACGTGCCCATGCCCATAATGTGAATGTGAAAAGGTGGATGGCATAGGCGGTGCACGGCTGGAAGGCCAAGAAACTGGACCTCTTGCAACGGAGAAGCCGTATGTGTGGGATTTTGTCGCCGACCTATATGTAGAAGCAGAGGTGGAAAAAGGGGAGATGAGGGCGTCGTTCGGGCCATGCTTGCCCCTTCCCTGCTTGAGCGCAAAGTCGAGGTATTATTATCAGCGGGTTGAGGCAATGAGGCTTCGCACAGCATCGTTCAGGGAGGGACCACGATCGCTCGCGAGAGGGGATGTACATGTCGACTGGGGTGTACTCGTGTAGTGGTATTGACACTCCTCGCATGAAGTCGCTGAGGTCCCGCATGCAGGAGGGAAACAACAGCTTGGTCATTCAGTAGTTACGCGAATCCATACCTGAAGTGACAGCGACAATGGCTCTGCTCATTCCAGCCCCATCCACCATACCCAATCAAGAAACGCTCGAGCACCTCCTCCCGCAGCGGCGGCGACTGACCCTCGCAAACGGATCATCATCCAACTCAATCCCGCATTCCGAATCGTGTCCTCGTCAAGCCGATCCGGACCTTAAAGGCGACCACCCGACAAACTCGCCCATCGGGCTAGAAACGGAGGCGTTGGACCTGTTGTTCGTGCGTAACGTCGTTGAGGCTCGTTACGAGATTTACTGAGCGTCTTACCACGAGGTGGGGTTTGTGGTCGTTGTTTGGGATGTTGAGGGAGTCTTAGGATAGATCTGGTGCTTGCTGTGCGCGTGCGTGGGGTACCATGAGGGTCTCAGGGAGGGTAGTGGAAGGAGAAAGGCCTGTGTTTTGTTGCTGATTGGTGAGTATGAAACGTGGCCTTAAGAACCCCGCCCGACCACATTCTGCGCATGGATCGCGTTCTGTGGCTGATGACCTGGCTGCTGCATGACCGTTGACGTTGATGACCCATTTCATTCCCTAACTGCTGGCCACGCATTCGCCGTCCAAGCTGTCTAGCGTCCATCCCTTGTTTCTGTTGACCATCCCCCATCGTGCTGTGTTGCCCATTCATCAACTGCTGCTACCCATTCCCCATCCCCCTTTGTTCCATCCCCAGCGCCCCCACCCCCCTTCTCCCCATACCCCTGACCATAACGATGTCCATGTCCATTCGACGAAAGCCCCATCATCACAAACATCAACCGCCGCAGCCGTAGCAGCGAATATCCAGGTTTTCGTAGTGGTAGACAGGTGACTGCGCTTGTGGGATGTCGGAAGAATGCAACTGGGCGAGTGGGTTGCTAGAAAGTGGTGGTTGAAGTGGAGGTTGGAGAGGTTGAGGTGGGACGTGAAGCGGCAGAGTTGGGACGTGAAATTGCTGAGAGTGAGGTGGTACTTGAAGTTGCTGAAACTAGACGCAGATCAGTTTGTGTTCGTTCAGGTTGAAAGCATTCGGACCTATGCATCGCCGTACTACTCCGTACAACCCCCCGAGGAGACGTCCTATTCCCCATCATAATTGCCTGTGACATGGGGGCGGCGAAGAAACACCTTCATCTTGATCTTCACGGCTAGAGGTTAAGTTTATTGCTCGCTCGATGGAAGAATCAATCTCCTCCGGATAATGTTTGCCTACTCACCGTCACTGGAGCTGCTAACGACCATGGTTCGTTCGATCCCGGCGTTAAACTTATAGTGGTTCTCGATCAACGGTTGAAGCGGAGAAATTCACACGACGCCGCAGTGATTGGACTGAAGGGGGGTGCTGGTGAGCACGGACGCGTCAAACTCCATTACTCAATTCCTACTTCGACAAGCACACAACTGATATCCTCCTCCAGGTCGGCGGGTCCACCCAGCGACAGATTTCGCTCCTTTAAATACTCGCCTTCCGTGGCATTCTTCAACATCCACTACCCCGAGTCTTTCCTTTCGAAACCTAACTTCCAAGCTGAGAGTACGCCTTGGTGATGATCGATGAACGTTTGAACACGACGATTTGGGATCTTTGCAAATTAATGGGAGGTGTTTAGATATCCTTTGAGAGGATGGTAAGATGTCGGTGGGTTTTACAAGCTTCGACGATATCGTTTGTCGGGCAATGAAGAGGCGGGATCGGCGGGAACACGCGGATGCGAGAAAGGAGGATGGGGACCTCTTCTTCAACCAAGCACCCATTCCTCCTCTTTCTCTATACGTCACCTCACCGATGGCCGAAGTTCAGATTCCACCACCGACCATCGATGGTATCTTTTGTGTCCACTACAAGGAAGTCATGCGTTATCCCATCCGTGCTAATCATCGTCGCAAGTGCTCGGATTGTGGCTTTGACGGGAGGATGCGTTCTTTGGCGTACGTCCTCCATGTCTCCCCTCCCGCCGTCCCGCATCACTGATGAACGGCGCTTATTCACGACTAGTTCGACCCAATCAATCGTGAGGACATTGAGTGCTGCCTCTATCGTGAACAAGGATGATGCTTATCAATGCAAGAAGCATGCCCCGACCAGTACGTTCCTTCCCAGTCCCCTTTCCCGTCCCTCCGCTCTTTCTCCTTGCTTTCTCCTCACACCCGACACGGATCTCACTGGCACCCCTAATTGGTTTAGGCTGCAACCAATGTTATTGCTGGAAGAAGCAGATCACTAAAGCACGTACTGCAGCTAAGAAAGCTGGCAGGAAGTATTATCGTCACACGGGACCATCTCGCTCGACCTCGAGGTGCCCTACTCAAGACGTCATCGCCCTACGGAAGGTGCGGTCGCGTGCCTAGGGCTTCGCCGTGTACTTATTCTATTCGATGTACCAGGGTGAAAAACAAGATGGTTGAAAGTTTTTAAGAATCTTAGCAGACTCGGGTTTTGCAAATAATTCAAGTCCGGAAAGGGTGAACAGGTTACGGCGTAACAGCACTACGGCGGTATGCTATGTCTTGTTGCCGGTGGTGATCCTCGTTCAAGCCGAGGTCGGGTAATTATGAAAAGGTTCGTTTCTCATACACAAAATATTAAAGACCTCAACGTTAAACCCCAAGTCATTGAGTAATTACTTCAACCGTCCGTACCCTGCGACTTTAAGCTTGTATACCAATCAAGAAAATACGACTTCCGAGTCAAGCCTTATTGTTCAAGTACGCAAAAGATATGCACAATTGGTCTGTGATATCGACCTGACCTCGACTCGAACGAGGACCCATGGTAGCTGCACCACACACGTTGGGCAGATGCGCTACTTACTCTTCCGCTATCAGGTCCTATTAACATCAACGTCACGGCTTTGCTAGTTTAATCTATTACGACCTCTCACTGGCAAGGGGTGCGTGTGCTGCCGATTTGTATTAAGTATGAGGGTATGTACCTCTCCCTCCGAATCCTCAAAAAAATTACGAGAATTCAGTAGCGTTCTCTTTCAAGACCGATTCTCAAGGGACTCAGTTCTACACATCCCATATATCAGTAAAAATATCAATGTCAGGTCTTGAAAGCTTGAGGAATGACCCGACCTCGAGTCAAACGATTTGACGTTACTCGTGAGGACAGTTGCGTATTTTCTTTCTGCAATTTATAAATTATTGTGCAAACCGTTCATGTTTCGAGCCTATTTTCAAGGCGAGCCCTGGAACAACGCAATGAAAATTCGGCCGGGATCAGTTGCTACTAGATGTTTATTACACGTTTCAATAGTCTGGAGAATCATACGGCTCGGCATAGGCAAAACGCTCCTGCTACGATAGCTCGTTCCAATTCAGACCAAGGTGGTGCGGTCTAGGAAGAAGCCGCGTCAAATACACAAACAGATAAGTAGCACGAAGGAGCTTTTCACCTCGTGGAATGACTGCGAGAAAAGGGGAAAATAAGTATGTTTATCACCGCTCACATCAGAGTCAACTCCTTACAGGCTTTTTTCCCCGCCGCGTTTATGGCCTCATAGCACGGGCATTCTGCGGTTGTACTGATTGTGCGGCATTATCGAAAATGACGAGATGACCACCATGTCCGAGGAATTTCCGTCTCGTCACAACTCCATCAGTCAGAAAAGTCTCCCCAGTCGTTGTTGAATGCCAATTGGAACCATACCTGAAATACATGAACTGGGAGGAAAGTTTGAGCATTTCTGATTACTTACTGCATCCAGAAATTGCTCTGAGTTTCTTTGAGAGGGGATCAAGTGCGGTTTTGGATACAAGTGTTATTGGATTGTCGTCAGAACTACCTGGAAAGTAAGTGTCAGCGTGGAGAGCGATGGCGTCACTGTCAGTCAACATAGTCTCTTCGTCATCCTCTTCGAACAACTGAAATTCAAAATTAGCGTATTTTTCCGCTTGAATAAGACAACGCTTGAGAGAAGCAACAGTGTGAGGTGGCGGAACTGCGACAGCGTCGATGCGACCTAAACAGGGCTCGCTATGGTCGAAGGATGTTTTTGAAGAGAACTCTCCACCCTCGTCGTATACGCGGTAATAGACTGGTTGATGTTTAGCGCAAGCTACATCGGATGTCAAATAATGAGAGCGTACCATAACGCCTCGCGGCTTCCTCAGGCCATTTATCTAACATCTTCAAGTCCACCATATCCGGCGCCTTCGTTCGTTTCTCTTTTACAGCAACTATCAATGCCACTGGATCAAGCTCAGACGACCCCGATCCAGAATTCCCTCTGAGTGCGAGACGACTGGAACCTTCCACGGGCGTCATTTCACCGAGGGAGAGGTACAAGTTGCACTTTCCAGGTTCAACTTGATAGCCCTCAATCTTGCAGAGGTATTTTTGGAGTGAAGCGATTGTACGGGGTGGCGCTATTGATTTGGAGGAAACGCGGCTGATGAATAGATCATTGGAATAGATGGGATTGTAAGATTTCAGTGGGCCGTCCTCGGTGTACAGTCTGTAGTATACTTTGCTCGAGCAGCTGAAATTGCGAAGATACGGTACAGAATATGACGAGCGTACTGTTGCGATGCTCTGTCTTTGCAGACATCTGCGTGATGATTTCAAATCAAAGTTACATCAGGCGCTGGCAGCGTGCTTACGGCGGGATCACTTCCTTCTTGATTGTCCGAACCACCTTGGCTGATCGGTACCAAACTTAATCATGATAATGTGATCAAAAACCACGTGGCTTGTCTGTCAATTTTAATTTTGTCGATTTCTTGGCCTTTTCTTCCACTGACCAACACATCGAGGATGGTCCATCAAAACATAGTTATTGTTCGTCATTGTACGTGTATGAGTTCCTGCATTACGGCGGTTGCGAACTAACCTCCCATCAATTCAGGGGCAGGAATGCCACTCGTTTTCCTGTGATTGAAACACGTTAAGTTGCCAGTCAAAACCTGCATATAGCGGATTCTAAGTCGCGCTGGTGTAGCGGATTTCTTCACGCCCACTTTAGTTCTTCGCCATTTTACTTGGGCGTCTTCTAGAACGCTCGTCTTCGTCAATCGCGGCTGATGGGGCCAATACACGACTGGCTCAAAGCGCCCTCTTCGAATCGGCAAGAGCTCCTTGATTCAAGCGGAGCATCCACTTATGGTCATGGAAGTCGTGATGTTTTGGAAGGTGCGAGACGTTGTTCTCTCCTGTACGATCCCTTACCATAAGTCAAGCCTACATTCTCCACGGAGAGATTTAGATTCAAACAACGCGATACTGTCTGGGCTCCAAATTCACTCTAGCACGACGGCTTGAGACTAGCGTTGCATCGTGCATCTTGTCTTTTCCTTCCTCGTCATCTCTGCAACCCGTGAACAGCGGGTACCATGCAGTGTGGTCCCCAGATTAATCTTGAATACAGCATGTTTGGACGTGCTGGTTTTAGGCCGTTATACCCAGTAGGTTGGTTCGATATGTTGTTTAGACCTTGAGAATAACATTTCGGCCGCCGCGTATTTGTGTTGAGATTTGGCTGATCATGTTATAGGACAACCCTTTTCCCCCTCAAGCCGAGTAAACGGCACACCGAGGCGGCTCTGTGGGAACGTTCGGGTCCACGCTTGCAAAGTGTTAATAATCACTCTATGACCCACGTTGGTTCTTTCTCCCCACGGCTTTCGTGCTCACCTCTCTACCTACCTACCCAGGTTACCTCGACATGATCAGCGAAGTCGCTAATCACTAGACTTCGATTTCACTCCGTTCATTTATTCAACAAACGTAGCTCCCGCTGAGGAGATATCGTAGACAGTACCCAGAGTTGCTGGAGCTCTGTATGCGCGGGATTAGGTTCGCTCTAGGACAATCTACGGTCTACCTGACGTGGTAGCTGACACTTGACATTCAGGAAAGTTGCGTGTTCAAGTTGCGTTTCGTCTTGTATCCTGAGCGCTCACTTCTAAATCGATCTGTATTTCAAGCGTGCGAGACTTACCGTGTCCTCAAGACTGGCTGCTACTCAGTTTGAGTCTTAATGGCGCCAGTGACCCCCCTGGTTTCAATGTCGCTGTTATAAATGACTGTTTTTGTTCTCACCACTTCGTTGCCCATTCAAGTCTACCTACCCGCTCAAGTCACCCTGGCGTTCCTGCACGACCATATATAGGTGAACAACAGCTTCATGCGTCTAACCAGAATCGACTTATGAACATCAAGGTGGGGTCATCTTGGTTTCTCCGAGGATCATGACGCTCGAACAGGCGCTAGCACGCATTGTTGATGAGTGACAACAAATGGCGTTCGGCGAAGGAATAGGCTATAATACGGTTAGGGTTTAGAAAAATAGAGTTTGGTGCTTCAGATTCATGCCTCGTTGAGTTCTGCTGACCTACTTGGCAGTTCGATGTTTATTCTTGTACTCGTTTGAAGATGGGGATGAAAGGATCAAGACGTTTGTTTTATTCGAACTCTTATATTGCTACATTCTCCTGACCACGTTTATTGGCGCCTAGCCTGTCCCCAGCATGCCCGTTTAGGAGAAAGCATTTCTACTCTACCTGTTGTGGCGAAACAGTCTGTGTTTTTCTTCCTGTTGGATAATTGTCCATGCTCAGTGGGGAGTGGCTTTGTATGTGGGCCGAACACGCGAACCCTTGGGTGGGATAGGCATGCCACGCAACTGCTGTGGACTGGCAGTCGAATCAAAGTGCATGAGATTGGGATCCTTGCTTATCACGGAATTGCGTCCCCTCACTTTTTTAAGCTATGTGTCCGTTCTTAATCCCTTAGGTATTGAGTGATAGGGGCCTCACTCAGCGCGCAAATGGAGTTGGTATTGATTCCTCGCCTCATCGCTTAACATGTGCTTCCTTCCTTTTAGTGATGTGATTGAATTCCTGAAGGGCAGGCGCCCATTCGCCTCGGCGATCGGAACGAGGCGCTTTTGAGGTGATGCACGTTCGTCGTTGAGGAACGTGTTTTACCGTTTCGGTAAGTACGAAGAAACACTTGCCTGAACTCTTTGAACCACTGCTGACCAACCACTGCAGTAAAGTAGCCGGATCTCGACTGTGGCTTTCATTTCAATGATTGCTTATCCCCTGTACTGCCAAAATGACGTTTTCTGGAACATCTACTTTCCCGCCGCTAGCGCTGGGAATAGGTTCCTCTTCCAGGCCCGAACCACCCCTCAATCTACTCTGTCAAAATCACGACGAACTCAAGTGTTCACGCTTTCCCCTCCACCTCTGCGAAGTGTATCGCAAGTATGCGCAAGGCACGTCGTGTTATCTTATCTGGAGCTGGCTTCTGCTTACTTTCTCGTTAGCTCAAGATTGTAACCCAACTCGGTCGACGTTCGTCAGAACTATCACCTCTATCTCCAACACCACATCTTTGCACTTCTAACCAAGAGCTGAATGATACCGAAGTGACTCGCATCTTGCAAGCTATCAACGGGGCTGAGAGAGATGTCGCAGAGCTCGTGCAGCAGATCAAGACAAACCCCCGGGATTTGGGGATCCGACGACGCTACTCCGCGTGTGTCCAGTTCCTCGAAGAACACAGGGGCCTTTTATCTCCAGTACGCCGCTTGCCCTACGAGCTCTTGGCACAGATTTTCGGTTTTTGCGCGAATGATCCACAGCCGTGTTGGACAGCTCCCGCCTGGACGTTGGCACATGTGTCACGCCGATGGAGAGCTGTTGCGTTATCTTTTCCGGAAATTTGGGGTGTGGTCCCTCCGATCAGGTTGTCGATGAAAGATAAGGGGAAGAAATTTATTCCTTTGCTTAGGGAACTCCTCCACCGTTCAGGCGAGCACCCGCTTTCCTTACACGTCTCCTCCGACGAGGACGGCGTCGTCAATCACCCCATCTTTCAACTTCTTATTACACATTGCATGCGATGGCGAACTGTCGTCATGGAGCTTGAGGTGAAGGATTTCCAGGCTCTTACGCAGTTCATCCGACGTCGTTTGTCTTCCTTATATTCGCTCAAGCTGGCCGTTCGAATGCCACACGTGGGGGACTACGTCCTCGAACCGTTCAGCATCGCTCCAATGCTGCGAGAGGTGGAAATCGACTGCCCACGGATACAGCTTCTTCTTCCTTGGGAGCAGTTGACCAGATACACGGAGCGCTCTACGGATCCTATCGGCGTCATACAGGTCCTCAATATATCTTCCGATGTGAACTACTTCTCCTACTCCACGCGGGCCGTCTTTCCTATCCAAGGGCACCTCGAACCAATGTCCCTCGCTAAGCTCACAACCTTGCATCTCACTTTCTATAATCCATGGCTATCATCGACCTCGATTATGGCGAGCCTCACCTTACCCTCTCTAACTGATCTTCACATTCGGTCCTTAAACACCTCACTAGTCGACGACCTCATCGACATAACTCTCCGCTCAAAATGCGTCTTGCAAAAACTTTCCATACATTCCTCACCTGTCAAAGGTGGAATCACGAGGATCCTCCTGTTCACCCCATTTCTAACCGAGTTCAAATGCAACGAGTTCGTCAAGGACGACATAGAACGTCTCCACGCTATCCCCGGAATTCCCTCCCTTGCGCCCCGCCTCCGCAAGCTCGTCATCCAATCCGACACGCCCATGAGGGAACTCAACGACATGCTTCTCAGTCGGCATTCGGGGGCAGAGAACGTTGCGCTTGAGTCGCTAACGCTGATATTCACGAGTCCTGTCGAGTGCTTTGCTGCGCAGTGCGTGCTGGAAGGATGGGATAAGGTGGATACAAAGCTTGCAGGGGTGATTGGGGGATGGAGGGCGGACATTGAGAAGGAGCTTGTTACCTGGGTGACGCGAAGCCGGGCTAACTCGTGGCAGAAGGCGATGACGAGTGTACAAGCGACGCACCGGCTAGGGGTTGAATTCCGAACGCTGGAGACCTACGAGTTTTCGGACGCAAAGTATATTTATGTGCGTTCTTTCCAACTTGCTTTGGATTAACTTGAGTTTGACTGGAACGTTCTAGCATTCAGGGATTCATAACATAATGAAGGAAGTGGGGAATATGGCGGCGGACGCTCTTCCTCGGGTTGAGGGATATAACTTCAAAGGGAGAGCTCGCGCTCTTGTTGACAAGTGGAAGCCTCTTCTTTTCTCAGATTTACCTAAGCGGCACTGGATGCGACGAGGCCAGACTACTCTGGAGTATGTTTCTGATTGTAGTGGTCAGTGATTCTGTAGTCAGAGCTGTCGGGTTCACTAACGAGTTTCTTTCTAGATTTACGACATTCTGAGGCAGGAATGCTCAGTATCATTTTTGGTGTGGATATGGGTGGACTTGATTTATATAGGGTCCTTCGGAATGCTGTGTAAGGCGCTTACGGCTGGGTATTTTCTATCTCTTATCAACTGACCTGTCTCGCCTGTCCAACTCCGTTTGAGTTCTGATACTTACGTTCACGTTTACGAATAATTTTTGTCTTATCTTATGCAGCAGAGCCTTTCATCGGTGTTTCTAAACGAAGGAGATCGACAGCACGAGGAAGCATCATTGCTGAGGTCCAAGATCGAACCAAAAAAAAAATTGCCAAGCTCGTGAAAGTTCAGGGAAATTAACGATTCATGGGTGAGAGAATAAGGATCAAAGAGATTGAAAATATTGACGATCTGTTGTGTATTGGCAGCATACGCGTAAAGGTTGGCTTGACCTTCGAGTCCTAGATCATCCCACGCGAAGATTGGGTTCAACTCCCAGACAGAGCTTTGCGGTACAGCATAGTCTATCTTTTTTTGCGTTCTTCTTTGCCATAGCATGTCCGCCCCAAGCCCCTCTTTTTTTTTAAAAAAAAAATTGGAAAGCACTCAAACATTTAATATTTAATCTCCGGCTATCACACGCGTTGAAAATGGTCCATTGCGTACGCGGCACGAGAGCTGGATTCGAGTCCTGGACAGAGTATCTCGTATGTTACCCAATTTCTTTTGCATGGAGGGGCGGATAAATTATTTTGGTTTAAGTTATTGAACATGAATTCCCTCTTGGACGGCGGTGGAATGTCACTGGGTAGGTAGATAGAATGCATTTGATTAGTTGACGTTCCTCTACAACACACAATGGGTGCGGGGATTTGCGATTGTCGATCATGAGGAGGTTTTTGGGTGGACGGCGACATGAGGAGATCTACACGAACAAAAATATTGCCAAAACTCATAAAAACTCACGAAAATCAACAATTCATGGGTGAAAGCAGAAGTAAGGATGATTTGAGATAACATGTATGTATATAGAACAAAGACATTGAAATATTAATGATCTGTTGTGTATTGGCAGCACACGCGTCAAGATTGGCCTGATCCAGGTCATTCCACGCGAAGCTTGGGTTCGACTCCCAGACAGACTTCTGGGGCTAGGTTGTGTTCTTCTTTGCCACAGTATGTCCGCCCCAAGCTCCCTTTTTTTTTAAAAAAAACCAATTCTGGATGCACTCAGATATTTAATCCCTCTTAGGCTCTAGTGTTGCAAATTCAACTTGAAACTGATGCTTTGAAGGCATTTATATCATAAGCTGGAAACTCTCTGTTGGTGAATTGGCTATCACACGCGTTGAATGTCATACATTATTGCGTATGTGGTACATATCCACGCGAGAACTGGGTTCGAGTCCTGGACAGAGACTTTCTGTATAGAGTGTATGTAAGTCCTTTTGCATGGAGGGATAAATGAATTATTGTTGGTCTAAGTCCATTTGAATAATAATGGGGCATTGTAAACCTCGTTCGGCTTTGAATGTGGATAGAGAGGGGTCAGACTCCGAATCTGTTCAGGTATTCATTTATTTTTATTCAATAAAGTTCTTCGTTGGTGCATCGGACAGCACACGCATTTAATTTCTAACACCTGAACGGCTTGAAATTTCAGCAGATGCGATAGCTGGGTTCAACACCCGGACAAGGAGTACACACATCGGGTTCTTTCTCTCATTTTCATTTTTTTAACCCCACATCTACGCACCTCGTCACTTTCTTGTATGAACAATCCAAATTTGAGGAAACCGTTCCGCTGCTCAAATACCATGGAACGTGAATCTCCTCCGAGGTATTCAGAGCGTTAATTGTTATAAATTAAACAAAGGCTTCTGTTGGTGCATTGGTAGCACCGCTTACAAGTCCAAATGACTTATCCATGCACCTTGGTATGCATATGGGTCAAGTAGCCGGGTTCGACTCCCTTCAAAAATGGTATAAAATGTCATTCCGCTAGTTTTTTTTACCAATGGCCCTCACAACGAAAACGGAAAGGCATATACAACAATCGCTAGCAAGAGGGGAGGGGCAAGTACTTTTACAGTCTACAAAGGACACGGGCGCCATTTGGGCACCATTAAATTTCGGAATCGCAACCGCCAGTCGTCATTTTATTTCATCGGATCCGACTCTTGAACGTAAGGACAAGTCCCATTCTGCGGCAATTAATTTTTTTGAAAGTAGAAAGTGTGACGAACACTCGGAGTCGGGCATGATAGTTGGCGGTGGGAGGCACTGTTTGGATTCAAAGCCTAAAGCAGTGCCCAAACAACTTGAACAGCCAGGTGCAACCTTGGGTCAATCAAGGTCAATCGCACTCTCAGCGTTTCGACATCGACCACCAGCATAGAATCATTGTACGCCAGTGAGTCCATCGAAATGTGGTTAACGCACAGTACATCCTCGGTGAACGAGTCGTCTCGCTCCCCTTGCCCTCCCCCAGACCCCCACGCATGGCACCGGATCCATCTGACTACTTCCTCACCATCCCAAACAACGACCACAAACCCCAACTCGTGGCAAGACGCTCGTCACGGGCCTGATAGATCTTAGCTTCAACAACGACGTTACACACGAACGAAGGGTCCAACGTCTCCGTTTCTAGTCGATGCGCCGAAGTCGCGTTTCTTGAAGGTTCGGGTCGCAGGTACAGACTCAGGCGCTGCTGAGGCCTACGACGCCGTTGACGCATAGCGCCATCCGGTTTACTGCTCCTTAAACCCACATATCCACGATTCACAACGCCTGCGAGATCCACGATGCCTGTTGTTCTCAGCTTGATGAGGACACAATTTGCAATGCGGGGGATGAGTTGGATGATGATCCGTTTGCGAGGGCGGAGGGTGCGGGATTTTGAAGCCTGCTATCAAGAAGGAGAGGGTGTGGACTGCGGAGAACGGGGTCGATGATGGTGTGACGGTGGATGGACATGGGCGGGTGAGAGGAGGTGGACAGTGTTCAGCCCCATTATCATCAGCAGAGGGAGCCGCTGGTGGTAGGTTGGAGAGGAAGAAGAAGAGCAAGATGGAGAAAGAGAAGTATAGGATTTTAGAGGTTGGAACGGAGGTTGTTCCCTCCCTCTATCGAAGGTGACTGGTTTTCGGCTCAGCGCGTACAAGAATGCGAGGAAGAGTGTAAACACTTTATGGTTATACATCCGATGCGGATGGGAGAGGCTGTTTGGGACATTGCCGTTGGAGATGAAGGAAACGTATACGGGAGCTATCTCATCGTGAGTTTGCCTGGCGTACTCTTCGCGTTCTTTTGCTGAGCTTGGGTTTTATATTTTGCTATTTCTAGGATCCTGATTATACGTATTCACCTGTTGGCAAGCTACGAAAGTATCTTCAGGCCCTGGCGTTCACACCGTCCTATATTTCCAGAGAGTCATTCGCTCCGGACCGACGGTCAGTAATCCGATCATGCATATCGATAAAAGTCCTTTGGGACAGGAGATCGGTGCGAATCTGCAGCTGCTGCCGGATCGAATCAAAACAGACGTGCGTACTGTTCTTTGTCTATCGACTTTTCTCGGTTGATAACACACGAACTATGTCCTGGAACCGTTCAGGATCGCTCACGCTATCCCCGGAACTCCCTCCCTTGCCGCAAGCTCATCATCCAATCCACCATGCCCCTGAGGGAATTCAACGACATGCTTCTCAGTCGGCGTTCGGAGGCAGAGGATGTTGCGCTGGAGTCACTAATGTTGAAATTCAAGAGTTCTGATGGGTGCTTTGATGCACAGTGCGTATGTAAAGGATAGGATATGAAGCTTGCAAGACTAACGCGCTTCTTCCTAGTTCTACGACATTCTGAGACAAGAATGCTCATGATCGTTTTTGTGTAGATAAGGGTGGACTTTATTTGCACATGGTCCTTCAGAATACCGTGTAATGCGTTTATGGTTGGGGGTTTATTTCCTATCTCTTATTAACTGACGTGTCTCGCCTGTCCAACTCCGTTTGACTTTTGATACTTACGTGCACGTTTACGAACAATTTTATACACCAGGGCCTTGCATTGGTGTTTCTAATATCCAACCAAAAAAAAATTGCCAACTCGTGAAAATTCAGAGAAATCAACGATTCCTGGGTGAGATCATAAGGATCAAAGAGATTGAAAATATCAACGATCTGTTGTGTATTGGCAGCACACGCGTCAAGGTTGGCTTGAGTCTTGTCCTTCGAGTCCCAGGCGAAGATTGGGTTCGACTCCCAGACAGAGCTTTATGTAATTGCATGGTTTACTCTTTTTGGTTCTTCTTTGTCCGCCCCGCGCCGCTTTTTACAAAAAAAAAATCAGGAAGGCAGTACAACATTTAATCTCCCCCTTTGGCTCTAGAGTTGCAAATTCAACTTGAAACTGATGCTTTGAAGACGTTTATATCGTAAATTGGAAACTCTCTGTTGGTAAACTGGCCATCACACGGGTTGAAAATGATCCATCTCATTAGGGGGAGTCAGAGTGAGCGGTTCAGCGACGATTCAACGAACGGTTCGGAAACGGTTCAAAGGTGTTGATTTCTCGTCTGAACCGTGGGAACACGCTGAATCATCGCTGAACCTGAACCGACGGTGAAGCGCCTCTGGAGGCGCTTCACCGTCGGTTCAAGTTTCGGTTCTACCTCCTTCGTACCATAACACCCTAATCCATTAGATTGTAAATATTTATTTACTTCGGTTGTTCCTCATTAGGATGGATCCAGAATATATCTATCTATTTATCTCCTTGAAAATATGTTTTCAGCCGTAAATTTTCTCCCTGTGCTCGGTATCATTGCAATAACCGCCTACAACGTCCTCACAAAAATACTGTCCAAAGCCATCGTCTACACTGCATACTTTGGCTGCTCAGGTGCATACGTTGTTGACGTCGTGCACAATTGTGAGTGTGGAACATGTATTTGGATTCTAGAGGTGGTCAGAACCGAGCTGAAATGGAGATTTTACCCTCAAGCTGAACCGGGGGGGTCAGAGTTAGACCCGGTTCAACGACGATTCAGACAAAAAGAATTTTTCGGAATCGTCTTTGAACCAACTTTGAACCCAATCTAGAATCGTTGCTGAATCGCCCTGAACCGGCCACTCTGACTCCCCCTATTATTGCTGACATATCCACGCGAGAACTGGGTTCGAGTCCTGGACAGAGACTCCTGAGATGAGAAAAATTCCTTTTTCAGGGAGGTAGATGAATTATTGTTGGTCTGAGTCCATTTGAATACTAATATGTAGGACATTGTAAACCATGTTCGGCTTCGAATCACAAAATTCGGTGTGAAATGAAGTGGGTTGAGACTCGGTTCACAGGTTCATTTATTTCGTTCAATTAAGTTCTTTGTTGGTGAATCGGTCACTGGCAGCACACGCATCTAATTTCTAGCACCTGTATGGTTTCAAGTTTAAGCAGATGCGATAGCTTGGTTCGACTCCCGGACAAAGAGTAAAACAGAGAGCGAAGTTTTTTTGTCGTTATCAATTTTTGACCCCACATTCAACGATACAACACCTCGACACTTCCTTGTATAATCAACCATCAAACGCGTGTCCCCTCCAAGGTACTTGAAGCATGCCTTATTCTAATCCAAACAATTGCTTCGTTAGTACATTAGTAGCACCGCATACAAGTGGCAAGGATGCATAGTATGCGTATGGGGTGATTATTAGCTGGGTTCGACTCCCTCCACGAAGTCATTGACTCGAAGTATATGGTATAATAGTCTTTTATCAAAACCCCTCACGACAAAAAAGGCGCATATAACAGTTCCCAGCACGTGGAGAGGGGCAAGCATTGTCAACAGAGGGCGCGACGTATATGCCCCCTACATTTCGCAACTGTGTTCAGTTCAAGCTCATTCAAATTGCAAGCTCACTTTAAGTATTTTGTCAGCTTTGAGTGTTGAGCTATCCCATTTTCCAGGAATTAAGTTTTACAAGAAGGAAAAGTTTTACGAACACTCGGGCGTGATTGACTTGTGATTGACGGCGGTGGAGCAGGGTGGAGCTGGGATACTTGGAGATCTTTAGGGTTGCGTCGAGGCACTGTTTGGATCCAAAGCCAAAGCCAGCGCCAAAACAACAACCTGGTCAACGTCACTTCGACCCACACCAACCACCACTAGTTGACCACTAGCAGCGCAGAATAATTGTAGCGATTTTCTGATGGAGTAAATCGACACCTGCGCGCGCCCATTGCCGGTGAGTCGGTCGAGATTTGACAAACCAACGCATAGTACGTCTCGACTTGCTTCCGTTTCTGTTCCCTTCGCTCGCCCTCACTATTCGACAAGATGGTAGTTGTTCTAATCCGCAGCGACCTCTGGGTAATCATCAACTTCACCAGAGGTGGAACAAAAGCATCACTCATCGACGTCCCGCGCCCCGTCTCTTCCCAACCATCCATACGCGTAATCACTTGCCTGGACTATGAGCGTCCACTACTTCCCGTCCTTCTCTGTCCCTGTTCGCAGGACAAACAACTTTCCTTGAATCATTCCGATTACCACCCTTCGAAGATCCCCCTGTGACACGGAACATGCCCTTGATTGTGAACTCACACAGACGCCGAGAAACAACTTCACGCATTATGGGATATCCACGATGGGCGACATCTGCATAAGCGCTTTCTTTGGATCGCGAGTTCCAGGAACTCCCCAAACACCAAGACCACGCTCGTTTGAAACCCAACAGCTCACAAGGACTCCACGATGCAGGGTGTGGACATGTGTCGATCAGCTTGGTCAAGGCATGTGCGTGGATAAGGGACGATGGAATGGCAACGGAGGGGTTAGAGAGGGCAATGGATGTGAGATTCCTCAGTCTCAACAGCTCATTTTCTCATCTCAATCTCACCCAACAGCTTCACGTACCACCACGACTTCAGCAATTTCAAGTACCACCTCCGCGGCTTCTCGTCCCAATTCAACCTCTCCAGGCTCTGCCCTAACAACTACTTTTTGAACCTACTTGCCCAGTCGTATTTCAACATCCCACAATAGGAAGACACTCGACTGCCGTTGCGCTCATACTACAAAGATATTCGCTGCTATCGTTATGACGGTTAATATTGGTGGCATGGACGTGGTTATGTTTATGCGAAGAAGAGGGGTGGGGTGGATCAGAGGGGGGTAGGTGGCATGGACCAGAGGGGGGTGGTGGATGGGCAGCTGTAGTCGATGAACGGGCTCAGACGGTCGGTGGGGAATGGTCAACAGCAGGGATGGTCGAGGAGACAGCTTGGACAAGCAAATGGGCAGTTCGGAAATGGAATGCGTCATAACACAACGAGGTCTTTAGCCTCAAAACGGAAGCAAGGCGCAGAATGGGGTGGGTCGTTCCCAAGGATTCGGTTTGATACTGCGGCAAAACAATTCTTGACCAACTATTCGATAGATGTCCACGTGAGCAACAGAGGCATTTATTTTTGCATGGAGTGTATATCGTCAGATTTGAGTAGGAAATTATGTCCCCTGTTCAGCTTCGAATTACAAAATCAGGTGTCAATTGCAGAGGGTTCAGATTCGATTCACGGATTGATTTATTGACCTTCAGTACAATTCTTCGTTGGTGCATTGGCTAGCACATGCATTTAATTTTCTAGTATCCACGTGGACTTCAATAAATGCGAGAACTGGATTCGACTCCCAGACGAAGAGTACAAGAAGAGTAAGTAGAAACCTGCAAACGGCAATAGTCATCTTTTTTTGACGCCACATTGACAGCACCTGCCAGACACTTTATTATATGAACAATGCAAGTTTTCGGAGGAAATACTTAGTTCCGCCAGCTCAATAAAAGTGAGTCCCCTCCGGTGCATTCAAAGTGTTAATGATTTGATTCTGAACAACTTCTTCGTTGGTGCATTGGTAGCACTGCATACAGACGCAAAGAACTTGCCTCTGCGTAATATGCAGGTGGGGTATGTAGCTGGGTTCGACTCCCTTGCCAACGAAATTTCAAAACCTGGTACTGTAGTTTTTTATTAAGGGCCCTCACCATAGAGACCGAAAGGCATATATAATGATTACTAGCAAGAGGAGAGGGGCAAACGTGGTCTACAGAGGGTGCGACGTATACGACCGCCTTTAACGGTTTCTGCCGTCATTTTATTTTGTCGGCTGTGAGTCTTGAGCATGAGGACGAGTCCCATTTTTCAGTAGTTAAATTTTTCAAAAAGTAGAGGTTTTACGAACACTCAGGCCTCAGGTATGATAGACGGTAGTGGAATGCTGCTGGGTAGGTACGAGTTCGTCAGGTTGAGGCACTGTTTGGATCCCAAGCCAAAGACAAACAAACAGCAGTGCATCAAACCTCCACAACACTCGCGTCGAGGGCAATTTTTGGAGCAATCACATCGTCAACGTTTCGACACCAACCACCACCACCAGCGCAGAATTATTATCGCAATCCTTTCTTGGAGTAAATCAACGCCTATTCGAGCCCCATTGCCAGTGAGTCATTCAGGATTTGACAAACCAACGCACCGCATACATCCAGTGTACTTACTCATCTCGCGTCCTTGTACGTTCCCTTTGCTCCCTCTTACTATTTGAGAAGATGGTAGTCATTCTACACGGAAGCAAGCCCAGTGAGTAATTGTCGACTTTACATGGGGCGGAACAAAACTATCACTCGTCGTCGTCGATCGATATCCCGCGCCCCGTCTCAACTATCCATACGCGTAATCGCTTGTCGGGACTACGACCATCCACTACTTCTCATCCTCCTGTTTCTCTGTTTGCAGGCCGAATCCCAATCTCGATTATCACCACCTTGGCGTGACCATTCTCATCTACGCTGAGGATTCCCCTGTGACATGGAACATGTCTTTTCCGATTGTGAACCTACACGGACGACGATACCTCGGACAACCAACTTCATGCATCCTGGAATTTGCACGATGGACAACATCCGCATGAGCGCTTGCTTCGGCTTGCGAGTTCCAGAAACTCCCAAACGCTAAGACCACGTTCTTTTGGAACCCAACGGATTACAAGGACTCCACGGCGCAGAACGTCCCGCTTTCCTGTCGCTTCCACAACCATCGATCCGCGTAACTTTACGACGCGCAATGGGTGCAGGGATTTGCGATTGTCGATGGGAGGTTTTTGCATGAACGGGTATCGGTAGGCTTGGTCAAGGCATGTGCGCGGGTGAGGGGCGACGTAATGGCAACGGAGGTTGGAAGAGAGCGACGGAGGTGAGATTCTTCAGTCTCAACAACTCGATTTTTCATCTCAACCTTGACATCAGGAGTTTCATGTTCCACCTCTGCGGCTTCTCGTCTCTTCAGCCTCTGCCTCAGCAACCACCTTCTAGCAACTCGCTCACCCAGTCCCATACCAACATCCCACCAGCGCAGTCGGGCACCTCTCTACCTCTCCGAAAACGCTCGACTGCCGCTGCGCTCATACAAGGAAAAGCTTGGATATTCGCTTCTATCGTTGTGATGATGGTGGGGGTGTTGGTGTGGTTTTGTCATCGTCCTTGTCGAGTGGACACATGGACGGTTATGGTTATGGGGAGAAGGGTGGATCAGAGGGGGCGGTGGGGCTGGAGCAGAGCGGGATGGGGGATGGCAGCCGTAGTTGACGAATAGGCAACGACGGTTGGTGGGGAATGGTCAACAGCAAAAAGATGGACGGAGACAGCGAATGGGTATTAGCCAGCAGCTCAGGAATGGAGTGCGTCATCAACGGTCGACGCAGTAGCCAGGACACCCGAATCAAGGCGCAGGATGGGGTCGGGCGTTCTCAAGGACAAGTTTTGATATTTGCCAATCAGCGGCAAAACACAATTCTTGCTTATCTATCCCATAGATATTCACGCGAGCAACAGAGAAATTTATTTTTGCATGGAGTGTGGGATATATCGTCGTCAATTTGAGTGGGAAATGGTGCCCCCTGTTCAGCTTCCAATCACAAAATCCCATGTCAGATTCAATTCACGGGTTAGTTTATTGACATTCAGTTAAGTTCTTCGTTGGTGCATTGGCTAGCACATGCGTTTAATTTCAAGCTACCTCCATGGATTTCAACACATGCGAGAACTGGGTTCGACTCCCAGACGAAGAATAGGGGGACAAAAGGGTCATAGTCGTTATAGATCTTTTTTTCTTTTTGACCCCACTGCCGTTACAGCACCTTGACACTTTATTATATGAACAGTCCAAATTTGAGGAAATAGTTCCATTATTAAACGTGAGTCCCCTCATCATGAGGTACTATTCAAGGTGTTAATGATTTACATCTGAACAACTTCTTCGTTGGTGCATTGGTAGCACCGCTTACAGACGCAAAGGACTCTGCGCAATATGCAGATGGCTTAACTTGTAAGTAACTGGGTTCGACTCCCTTGACGAAGTTTAAACTCAATTGGAATCCGATAAGTATTTTGTCGGCTTGAGTCTTGAGCTTGAAGCTCGAGGACCAGTCAAGGATCGGTTCCATTTTGCAGTAACTACAATTTTCAAAACGTAAGAGTTTTACGAACACTCAGGCCTCAGGCCTCAGGCGTGGTACTAAGTAGACGGTGGTGGAATGCCGCTGATTACGTTGCGCGTCGAGTTGAGTGATGTGCTGTTTAGATTGAAAGCCAAAGCCGTGATGCCCAAACAACAACCAGCCTTGTGCAATCTTTGGGCGCAATCAGACTGTCAACGTTTCGACACCAACCACCACCACCACCGCAGAATCGAAATCGCGACCCTTTGATGGAGTAAATCAACGCCTACTCGAGCTCATTGTCAGTGAGCCATTCGAGCCTGCGATTTGACAAACCAACGCACCTCACATCTCCAGATACTCGTCTCGCTTCCTTGTACTTTCCCTGTGCTCCCTCTTACTATTTGAGAAGATGGTAGTTGTTCTACACCATATTTACGGTAGCAAGATCTGTTAATAATCGACAACTTCATCGGACGTGGAACAAACCAAGAGCAAACCATCAATAATTGATATCCCGCGCCCCGTCTCGATCTTCCCAATTGTCTCTATGCGCAATCACTTGCCGGGACTACGACTATCCACTACTTCCCATCTCCGCTGAGGATCCCCCTGTGACACGGAACATGCCCTTTTTGATTGTGAACCCACATGGACGACGATACCTCGGGCAACCAACTTCATGCATCCTAGAAAATGCATGATAGGCGCCATATGCATGAGCGCTTGCTTCAGCTCGCGAGTTCCAGAACCTCCCAAACTCTAAGACCACGCTCGGCTGGGACCCAGAGCCACTCCACTATGCAGCTGGTCTTGCTCCACCAGCAGCTACCCACCTTGTAATACCCTCACACTTGTTTGCGTCGCTTTCACAACCACGCGTTCCTTTACAACGTGCAATGGACATTCGCGATTGTCGATCATTGGGAAGTTTTCACGTGGAAGGGTATCGGTCAGCTTGGTCAGGGCATGTGCATGGACCAGGGGCGACAGAATGGTAATGGAGGTGTCAGACGAGACTCTTGATGCAGGTAAGACGTCAGTCCCAACAGCTCAATGAGTCATTTCAATCTCAATAGTTTCACGTACCACCTCGACCCCAACAATTTTAAGTACCACCCCTGCAAATTCTCGTCCCACCTCAACCTCTGAAGCCTCTGCCTCAACCACTACTTTCTAGTAGCCCATTCTCGCAGACAGATTCCAACATCTCTCAAGTGCCTCAGAAACACTCGACTGCCGTTGCGCTCATACAAAGATGTTCACTGCTATCGCTGTGACACTTGATATTGATGATGGCTTGGTTCCGTCGTCGTCGTCGAGTGGAAATGTATGGTTATGGGGAGAAGAGGGGTGGAGTAGAACAGATGGGGGGATGTATCAGAGTGAGGTGGAACTGGCAACGACGGTCGGTGGGGGGTGGTTAACAGCAACAAAGGATGGACAGGAGACGGCTTGGAAAAGTGAATGCGTACTAGCCAGCAGTTCGGGGATGGGGTCATCAACAGTCAATGAATGGGATGCGGCAGCCAGGTTACTATACTCCTGCAGGGCGGAATCAAGGCGAAGAATGGGCCAGGCGTTTCTAAGGACACAATTCTATTATCTATTCCATAGACATCCACGCGAGCAATGGAGGAATTTATTTTTGCATGGAGTGTGGATATATCATCATATTTGAGCAGGAAATTGCGTCCCCTGTTCAGCTTCGAGATTACAAAATCCTGTGTCGATTGCAGAGGGTTCAGATTCAATTCACGGATTGGTTTATTGACTTTCTTCGTTGGTGCATTGGCTAGCACATGCATTTAATTTCTCTATGCCCATAATCTTCAACAAATGCGAGAACTGGGTTCGACTCCCAGACGAAGTAATAATGGATCATTGCGATGTATATTTATCTTTCTTTTTTTGTTTGACCCCACAACTGGCAGAGCACCTCGACACTTTCTTATATGAACAATACGAATTTGAGGAAATAGTTCTGCTGCTCAATTACCATTAAACGTGAGTACCCTCCTACACTAACCCTACAAAATGATTGTCCAGTCAATTTTTGGACAAAGCTGGTGTTATAACACAAGAATCAAACACTTTGAGTACTAAGCTCTGGTCTATCAAATATAGCTAAGGAGGTGTAGATTGTACATACCAAGTTTGGGGATGAACAAATGAAAACTCAGGATAAGGCAGGGCATTGATTGTGACACCTGCCAAAAATGGGATGTAACAAAATGGGAAATTCTGAATGACTGCAACCTACTGAAAGCAATTCACAACTTGAGGAGGAGATATTTTGAACACTGGATCTCCCTGCTATTGTTATGAGTTTCACAAAGTCTGTGGGTTAGAAAATTTGATAATCTCCTCTAAAAGGTAAATTGAACTTGTTCTCTGTTTTATGTATTTTTTACTCAATATATTTGTTGGAATGAGGTAAAATAATTCCTTATTGATGTTTGTAGTATGTATAATACAAAAGGTAGGTAGGAGTGTTAAAATGAACATTGCATGATGTCTGTAGAAGCTAATTCCCAGAGTTTTTCTGGAAGTAAACAAGTATCTACAAGATTGGTCCTTCTTTTCTGCAAGAAGAAAAAATGCTACCATCCTTCTGAATTGATCCATAGAGACTCAGGATGTCTTTTAAACAATGCCTGAAGCATAGCATGATATAAAATAAATTTACACTGGGTATGACCTGAAAAGTCCCCAATCAAAGTACATCTTGCATAGGGCAAGAAAGGTGTGGGGTCTCAGATCCTTGTATAAATAGGACTTCTGTTTATTTCTTTAGGATAGTGTTACTAGACATGAGAAGTGCCTTGTGAAAGACTTTCAGCCCCAATTCACCAAGAAAAATGTCAAGGATTGGTCCAGGATGATTGCCCTATGCAAAATGTACTTTTATTGAGGATTTATCAAGTTATACCCAGTGTAAATTTATTTTATATCATGCCATGCTTCAGGCATTGTTTAAAAAACATCCTGAGTCTCTGTGGATCAATTCAAAAGGATGGTAGCATTTTTTCTTCTTGCAGAAAAGAAGGACCAATCTTGTAGATACTTGTTTACTTCCAGAAAAACTCTGGGAATTAGCTTCTACAGACATCATGCAATGTTTATTTTAACACTCCTACCTACCTTTTGTATTATACATACTACAAACATCAATAAGGAATTATTTTACCTCATTCCAACAAATATATTGAGTAAAAAATACATAAAACAGAGAACAAGTTCAATTTACCTTTTAGAGGAGATTATCAAATTTTCTAACCCACAGACTTTGTGAAACTCATAACAATAGCAGGGAGATCCAGTGTTCAAAATATCTCCTCCTCAAGTTGTGAGTAGCGCAGAACGCGTCAGGGCCTGAGGCGCTGTTTGGATCCAAAGCCAAAGCCGGTGCCCAAATAACAACCAGTGGTGCAATTTTTGGGCAATCACATTGTCAACGTTTCGACACCAACCAGCACAGAATCATTGTCACGATCTTTTGTTGGAGTCAATCATTGTGAGTCATTTCAGATTTGACAAACTAATGCACAGTTCTTCGTTCCCTTCCCTCACTGTGAATAATCGTCAACTTCACTGGGGATGGAACAAAATTATTACTCATCGATGTCCCGTGCCCCGTCTCGTTCCTCCCAACTATCCGTACGCGTGATCACTTGCCGTGACTACGACCGTCCATTACCTCCTGTTTCTCTGTCCGCGGGATAAACACCTCCTCCCAAATCGCAATCCCGATTACCACCACCTTGGCGTGACCATTCTCATTTCCGCCGCTCATTCCCGCCGATTGTACAGACGACGATACCTCGGACAAACCAACTTCACGCATTATAGAATATGCATAAGCACTTTATGGGGTCTTGCGTTCTCAAAGACATGGTTTGATTGATAGTCGCCAAGCAACAAAACACAGGCCATGATCCTAGACAACAACATTGACGTCCACCCCAGAAGCTCAACGCCTCTGGGCCTGCCCATCTCATTCCACTACCCTCCTCAAGGCCCTCATGGTACTCCACGCATGCATACAGCAGGCACTGGATCCACGACCATCTGACCGCTCCCTCAACATCCCCAACAACAACCACAAACCCTACATTGCGGCAAGCTCTTGAACACTGACGTTACACACAAACGACAGGTCCAATGCCTCCTGATGCACAAGTTTGTTGCGAGGTCGTTCTTCGAAGTCGGGAGTCGCAAGTACAGGCAAAGGCGTTAAGGCCTCCGATGCCACAGAAATCTGGGAGATATCCGACGCCGTGGACGCATAAAGCCATCTGGTCTACTACTCCTGAGACTCGGAAATCCACGGTGCATGACACACCTACAACGCCTGCTAGACCTACGACGCCCGTTGTGAACAATTCGAATGTGGGGACTAAGTCGGATGATGATCCCTCTGCGAGGGTGAAGGGGGCGGGATTGTTGAAGCCTGGTGTGAAGAAGGGGAGGGCATGGTCTGTGGAGAAAGGGGTTGATTGAGGATAGACGTGGGCGGGGGTATGACGAGGTGGAGAGAGTCGTCCCAGTATCGTCATCATCGGAGGGAGACTGCTGGTGATGTAACTGCGTGTCCTGGGGATGGTAGAGGCGAGGAAGTAGGCAAAGAGGTTGCAGAGGAAGAAGGAGAGGGAGAAAGAGAGAAGGAGGGCATCTCACATACTGGAACGGATGCCGCGCGTGTGGAGGTTGACATTGAAGAACCGATTTTGTCATACTACTTCAATGTGGCGCAGGTTCTATCGCACCACTAGGTGGTGATGAACCTCAAATTTCTACGAGTGGCACATCCAACGACATCCGGATACTCTTGGTGGAGTTGCCGCCGCTGAGGGAGGAGGTGCTCGAGCGTTCATTGAATGTCAGATATAGTTGATGGAACTGGAATGAGCAGAGCCGTTGTCGCTATCGCTTCAGGTTCGAATTTGTTTCACTATTTGAATGACCGATCTGATCCTTCCCTTCCGCGTTCAGGACTTCATGCGAGGGGTTGTCGATCCCACCACGACGAAGCGGTATCTCCCTTCACGCATCAAAAAAGAGATTGAAATGGGAATTGCTTCATTGAGCGAGGAGAAAGAGGTAGTGTTTGAAAGTCCGGTTCGGTCCGGTTTTTTGATGCCCAGGGGCGTTAACCGTAACCGTAACCGGTCTGCCTTTTCCCCAGAAGTCAAAAGACCAGACCGGACCGCAAAAAGACCGCAGACCGCGGTTTTTTGCGGTCTATAGACCGGTTTCGGTCTGCATCAGTTTTAACCGGTTTATGACCGGTCTTTAGGCCAATATTTTAAAATTATGAATCGGTAAATTTATTAACATCTCTAATAGCTTCAAAACGAGCCCAAGAACGTTAAATTCCGTTGGGAATTAGTGCTTCTATAAAATAAGTCTGGTACATCTATTATTCCCAAAAGTAATTTACATTTTAATTCATATCTCTCTCGTTTTTTTACCAAATCGTACGTTCTTGGGTGCGTTTTAAAGGGTATTTAAGGGGCTACAAAAGACCGGTCCAAACCGGTCAAGACCGGTTCACGTTAACCGGTTTTTTTGCGGTCTTTACATTTCAAAAATAAAAGACCGTAACCGCAGGTCCGGTCTTTTGCGGTCTTGGTCCGGTCTGGTTACGGTCTTTTTCCAGTCACGAGACCGGACTTCCAAACACTAGAAAGAGGTGTTTGCAGCCGCTCGATCGCGTGTCTACGAGCCATTTCCTTGTGGCGGGTGGGAGGGCAAGACTCGGAGGGAAAGACTCGGAGGCGAGGAGGATGGAAAACATTGAGACATGTGGATACATCGCAAGGGGCAGCGCAAGCATTTCGGCTACGAGTGCGTACGAGGCTATGTGTGTTGAAAATCGTGCATCGTGGTTGATCAATATACATCCATCTGGAGATCGTACGTGTATAAGTGCCTTGTTCAGTTTCAAGTCAAAGCATTCAATGTTGAATGGAGAGCGATCAGATTCGATTCACAGGTGCATTTGTCTCCTAGTGCTATGTCCACCCCAAAGCTTTCAAGATCTGACAAACAGCACTTGGAAAATGGATCACCAAATTTAAGCTGATGTTTTGAATGCATCAATGTTGCAAGTCGGAAACTTGAACACTCTGTTGGTGCATTAGTTAGCACACGCGTCGAAAAATGTCTACTCGTTGATATTCATGCGAGAACTGGGTTCAAGTCCTAGACAGAGAATACCGAGATGATCATGACACAAAATTTTGCATGGAGTGCGGATACTAATATTGTCGTTGATCCAAGTCTAATTGAGTAGGAAATTGTGTTCCCTGTTCAGCTTCGAATTACAAAATCTGGTGTCGATTGCAGAGGGTTCAGATTCAATTCATGGGCTGGTTTGTTGACATTCAGTAAAGTTCTTCGTTGGTGCATTGGCTAGCACATGCATTTAATTTCCTTGCTGGCCCCGTATACATCAACAAATGCGAGAGCTGGGTTCGACTCCCAGACGAAGAGTAGTTGCTGAAATGGCTAGTGCCATCGTTATATATTTTGATCTTTTCTTCTTCTCTTTCTTTTCAACCCCATATTTACAACACCTCCACGGTTTCTTATATGAACAATGCAAATCTGGGAAATTTTCAAACAGTTCCGCCGCTTAAATTGCCATTAAAGGCAAGTCCACTCTGAGGTATTCAAAGCATTAATTATTTGAATCCGAACAACTTCTTCGTTGGTGCATTTGGTGCTACAGGCACAAAAGACTTGCCTCTGCATGGGTTCGACTCCCTGGACGAAGTTTCAATGAGGGTTGTGAGACTGATGTTTGGTTTTGGTTTGGTTCACGGCTTGAGTCTTGAGCTTGAGCTTGAGGACAAGTCCCAATTTTCAGTAACTGATTTTTTCTAAATGGGGGACCTTCACTTGACCTTGACGAAGACTGAGGCGTGGTAAACAAGTGGTTGGCACAGAGGTGCTGTTTGGATCCAAAGCCAAAGCCAGTGCCCAAACAACAACCAGCGCTTCAGGTGTTTGTCGACAGCCCCAACCACCAGCAGTACAGAAACATTGTCGCGATCCTTTGTTGGAGTAGACCACCGCCATATTGAGCCCCATTGCCAGTGAGTCATTCGAGGTTTGACAAACCAACGCACCGAACACCTCCAATAATTAGGAACCGCACTGTGGGCGAAACCGACCAAGGTTGGACTTGGAACCGACATCCCGCGCCTTGTCTCGATCTTCCCAACCATCTGCACTACGACCCTCCACTACTTCCTGTCACCCTGTTCCTCTCTCCGCGGGACAAACAACTCCTCCCAAATCCCAAACCCGATTACCACCACCTTGGCGTGACCATTCTCATCTCCACCACTCATCCCTGCCGATTGTGAACTCACACAGACGACGTTACCTCAACTTCACGCATTATAGAATATATACGATGGGCAACATCCCTCCATGAGCGCTTTCCCAAAAATGGGGTTGGGCGTTCTCAAGGACACGGTTTGATCCTCGCCAAACACAGGCCCTGAATCTAGACAACATCGAAGTCCTCCTCAAAAGCTCAATGTTCAACACCTCTGCCCTGCCCATCTCATTTCATTACCCTACTAAAGGCCCTCATGGTGCCCCGCATACAGCAAGCACTGCATCCATCTGATCACTCCCTCGACAACGCCAACAATGCCCACAACCCCTACCTTGCGGCAAGATCTTCAACACCGACGTTGCACACGAACAACGGGTCCAACGCCTCCGCTGACAACTCGATACGCAATTTTGTTGGGAGGCCATCGGAGGGTCGCAGGTACAGGCGCAGGCGTTAAGGCCGCCGATGCCACAGATATCTGGGAGACTCATGACGCCGTGGACGCATGAACCGTCTGGGCTACTACTCCTCAGAATCGGAAATCAACAATGCATGACGCGCCCATACGAAGCTTGATGAGGACATGATTTGGAACTGGTGGATGATGATCCGTTTGACATTCATTGGGAGATCGTATGTGTGTACCTGGTTCAATTTCAAGTCGAACCACTCAATGTTGAATGGAGAGCGATCAGATTCAATTCACAGGTGCATTTATTATAATGCACTCAACTGCCTTCGTAGTGCTACGTCCGCAAAGCTTTTGGATCTGACAAGGAGCACAAGTCAGAAAGTGGATCACCAAACCTAAGCGATGTTGCAAGTCGGAAACATAAACACTCTGTTGGTGCAATAGTTAGCACACACGTCGAAAAATATCTACTCGTTGACATTCACGCGAGAACTGGGTTCAAGTCCTCGACAGAGAATACCAAGATGACACAAAATTTTGCATGGAGTGCGGATACTAATATCGTCGTTAATTCAAGTCTAATTGAGTAGGAAATTGTGTTCCCTGTTCAGCTTCGAATTACAAAATCTGGTGTCAATTGCAGAAGGTTCAGATTCGATTCATGGGTTGGTTTGTTGACATTCAGTAAAGTTCTTCGTTGGTGCATTGGCTAGCACATGCATTTAATTTCTCTCTGCCCATAAGCGTCAACAAATGCATTGGGACTGGGTTCGACTCCCAGACGAAGACTAATTGAATGAGAGGGGAACTACCATTATATCTTTTTTTTTTTTTTTGACCCAATTTTGACCCCACATTTACAGTACCTCGACACCTTCTTGGATGAACAATCAAAGGGATTGCTGCCGTTAGCAATGGCGATCAGCACCACATGCACCTCAGCCTGAACAATTCCGCGCTTCCAAAACTGCTTGGTACGAAAGTGATGATTCGTATGGATTCTACGCCAGGCAAACCACTGGAAACCGGATTGTTTTATATGGACGCACTAGCAGTGGACACAGGAGCGGTTTGAGGGTTGTCGACCCAAATCTTATAACACCAGGGGGTAGTATGGATATCATTGGAAGGAGCAATACTCACTGGCCTCTTGGCCTTGATTGCGCTTTTGTTCCAGTCGGTAACAGAAATTGGGCGGCTGACGGCGCAGGCAACTTTTGATTAGAATATGTTTAGCATGTGTCACATCAATAGCAAGTCACTTGCGAATAGATGAGTCGTCTACTCAAACTGAAAACGTTGTGAAAAAGTCGACATCATGCCAGAGCATCATAGAAAGCGAAGAATTTTTTCCTTTGGCCTAATCAATCGATTATTGAAGGCACCGCAGATTCTGAATTGCCATTGTCGTCAGTATATAGTAAATGGAGACATGGTGCAAAAGTTCCTGGTGCGATTATCAGCTCAAGTGCACACATCAAGCCAGAAAAGCCTCCGGAGGTGATTTGACGATTAACTACAACAAACTTCTCGTTTATGATTCTGGAAGCTTATATTAAGGCAAAAAAAAATACCCGCCAACAGAAAACCCTAACCTTCAAGCTTGGTATTCTCTTTGCATCATTCATCACTGTAAGAAGGCGAAGAATGGTTCATACCTAGTCTAGGGGCACAGGAAAATCTGTGTGCCATCTGCGGACACCTGCGGACACAGGTTGCGTGCCAGTTGCGAACCGAAAAGAAGTATCTGCGGTCACCTGCGTGCAGACCAATCCAGTTGCGTGCCTAGTGAGCTGAGTATCTGCAGGCATCTGCGAGCATCAGCGCACCTCACTGAGATTTCATATTTCCAACATATTTCTTTATATTTTAATTATCCTTCTAGTTTAACGTATACGAATCTCTCTCATTCTTTGGGACTTGTTGGTTCGTACCTATAGGTCTGTACTAAAGCCATTTTTTTGCAGAAAGGTACAAGTAACGAAGTGTCTGAGGCTATGACTAGTCAGCCACCGGCTTCTTACCATTATTTTCCTTCTTTATTGGACCTGATTGTGGTCGAGTTTTTTTCCAGAGACTTCGGGACTTAATAGCCAATGTCTGCCATTGTCGAGTGATGGAGTCTCACCTCTCATTCAGACTCGCTCTCTTCTTCCCATCCCAACTTGATTCCACACCAAACGAGGGACATCGGGGAAAACCAACTTTGGAAATCGATGAAAATCTCCCCTTATTTCCCGACTACTTCCCCAGAAAACCTGGATTCCGGACCTCTGGTGTTTCCCCCAATTTCCTCAATTAGACTGGTGTCAGCGGATTTGAAGGAAATTCTTGGGACACTCATAATATATATCACTGTCATTTCCCTCACATTCACAATGTATTTCAGTGACATTTCCCCCACATTCTCTAATTTCAAAACCATTTCATCCATGGGATTCATAAATTATACTGGCGAAAGATGTCCTGCATCCAATCAACATTCCACCTGCAATACACTTGCGTTCAGCTTGCGGTACACTTGAGATTCATCTGCGACACACCTGCGACACATTTAAGATACACTTGCGAGAGTTAGTATCCATTGCGAGACTTGCGTACACTTGCGTGCAACTTGCGCATCACTTGCGATACACCTGCGAGACCAATGCGAGACACACTTGCAAGCATCTGCACACAAAATGGATGTTTGCGAGCCACCTGCGGTCAACTTGCGAGTAGGCATGAATAAATATGAACTAAAACTCTTGTGTAGACATTTGAACACTGTATTCCGGACTCATATCACATAGCAGTGGTGCACATTTGAAGTTCTCAAGTGAAGATTACATTTCTTTAGTTTAAATTTACTAAATACTATGTTGTAGTAGACTATCTATCTGCGTGACACCTGCGATACCTGCGATCCCTTTTGATTATCTGCGAGACACTTGCGGTCACCTGCGAACGGGCGGTCCGCAAGTGACCGCAAGTGGCTCGCAGATTTCTATATGCCCCCTAGTCTTCTACTCAATAAAACAACTCCAGGCCCATAACGCGGACTGAACACCCTAGCCGGGCATGAATCAAAGCGACCATTGAATAAACAAGAAGCCGAGGAGTGCGTCAAGGGGTGAGGGGAGAAGAAATAGAATCTGCTGTAAGTCGTCCACCCTGACAAGACCGTCGCGCACAACACCTCAATTGACCAAGTCCCACAGCTTGCACGTCCTAGTACCACCTCCATGCGTGTTAGTCGAATGAGTAGGTTCAGGCCGGGATGGACGAGCGGTTCCCAAAGCCCAATACCACCCAAATCATCGAGAACCACCTCCAGCGTACACCGTAGGAAGGGCATTATGCCCCGCGTGAACTCGTAGCGGTTCAACGCGAGGCTTGTGATGTTCCCCCAGGAATGCTGAAATGATAGGCTGAAGCGCCATGGGAGAGGGATCATGCCTGGAAGACCGTCAGACGTCAGAGAGAGACCCGAGGGACGGCATGTTTAAAGTGCAGAAAGTCAGATGGAATAGGGTAGTGGTTTGATTTGGTTTCTCTTGGGAATGTAATAAAGAGGCTTCGGAGGCGGACAAAGTTTATGGTGTGAGCGAGGAGCGGCGCGGTATAGGTGGTGTCTGGGTTTCGGATCGTTGCATTGAGGTGGAGGTGTTCCAGAGAAGAGGAGGCGGCGAGGATGGAATGGATGGCATTGGGAGGAATAGCCTCGGTTTCGTTGAAGTTTTAATGCGTGATTTGCGAGAAAGGTGAGAGTAATTTCGTGGAGAGTATGTCTGCGGGAACGGAGAACTTTAGAGAGTGTACTTTTTTGGGACGCCACAAATGTTGCGATGGGTGAAAACTCTTCGGAAGGGTAGTCGTCCTGGATGATGAGCGAGAGACGTTCGAGGACAGAGAATTCAACTTTGTGAGGGAATTTGACGAAAGAGGAGATTTTCAAGTCAAGAGAGATGAAGCGGTGTGCGGAATGAGCGAGAATTGAATATAGGGTATCCTCTCCGCCGATCCTATTCCGAACCGTTTGTGGAGAATTCGAAGCCAAGTCCAATGCTAGCAGCTAAATAGATTACCAAGATATCAACCAACTCTTGTTGAAGAAGACGTCTCGTGACCTTATTGTTTACGCGTACGCTTTGTTTGTTCCTCCTTTTTCTCTTTTCTATTCATCTTTTTACTTCCGTTATTTGCTAGTCTTTACGTTTACTTTGCCAGTCTTTGTGCAAGCCACCGTCCCCATTCCTATAAATACGAAAACCCTATTTCTCTTCACCTCAGTCGTCATAACACATCGTGTCTGACTCTGAGGTGAGTTTACTTTATATACATTTCACTTTACTATACTGACTACTACCTGTACATAGTTCCGTGCGTTCACAGGTAGTTACCCAATATGAGTCGTCATAACACATCGTGTCTGACTCTGAGTTCCGTGCGTTCACAGGTTATGGGCCCCGAAGCGCATTAACAAACTTACGGAATTACAGACACTACTTGCTTTACCACTTTTACTTGCGACTCGTAAAGCACACTTTACATCCCACATTACATCCCACATTACCTCCCACAAAAATGTCGTCAAATGCGAACCCACCTATTTTTTCTGATCCCGAAAAATTCGACAGCACAAACTTTGCCACATGGGAACCGCTAATTGTCATAGCAGCAACCAGTCGCGGCGTACTAGGATATCTACAGGGCACTATCCGAAATCCTGCTCCTCCTACATCCCCAACCACCGCATTGACGTACACACCTACGCCGTTGGAGATACCCCTCCCCGACGACACCACACAATGGTACTCCTCCAATCCCTCTGTTGCAGAGTGGGCGATGCGCGACGCCTGGGTGCGCGCGCTGCTGCTCTACAACACCAAAAATCCAATCGGCCTAGGTCTTAAGCTCGATGGAACTGCTGCTGAAGCCTGGAATTCCCTCACCTCGCAATATAAAATTTCATCTGACCTTGCCGCCGTTACAACCCAACGCGACCTCCGCACAACCACCTTCACCGATGGAGGTGACTTCCCAACCCACATTTCGAACCTTCGTACAAAATGGGCAATCGCTAATAGCGCAGGCGCAAAAATCGGCGACGCTGATTTCCGCATGATAATCCTGTCCTCCCTTCCGATCTCTTGGGACAGCATTGTGGGGACCCTGTATGAGGCAAAATCTTCGGCAGATGTCATTAGTCGATTGATGATTCATTGGAATCGCATTGACCGCTCGAAGTCAGTCACAAATCCCAGTAGCGTGGTCACGGCACTACAAGCCAATGCGAGACAGGGACGGAATCAACTCCAGTGCACCAATTCGAACTGTGGACGTCGTGGTCATACCATAGACAACTGCTACTGGAAAGGGGGAGGAAAGGAGGGTCAATTTCCTCCGGACTTCGGCCGACGCGGGGGAGCTCGTGGATCAGCACCACGCACAATAACCCCAACTGTAACTGCAGCACTCACCGACACGTCGCCCACATCTGAGATCACACTTGCTCTCATAGCTGATGCTAATAGCGACGACTGCCTGTTAACGAAAGGTGCACACATATATTCAGACGAAGGAGGGGATGTCATGGAGGTTCACTCACTCGGGGAAATACTCTACGCATCGAAGGAATGTGTCCTCGAATCTTATCCAGAAGGCGCTTGGGATTTGGAAATCCCAGACCCCACTCATGCGTTAGCCGCAACGACAGGACCAGGACAAGATAATGTCCTGACATACACCGATTCCGCTGCCAACAAACACTGTTTCGTTGCGCGCTCGGACTTCACCACGTATTTCCCACTTGTAAAGCCAGACGAAGGTCAATCTGCGAATAAAGGCGGTCAGTTCCGCATCATTGGGCATGGTGCGGTGACTAAGACGATCATCTCGGGTTCCCTGAGGACGACAATTACCTTTAAAAACGCAGTCCACACTCCCGATCTCATTGCCAATCTTGTGTCAATCAGCAAACTCGACGTTGCTGGATGTTGGGCGCTTTTTGGAGGAGGAGGCGTTCAGTTCTATGACCTCATCAATGGAAATCAGAGATTATTGATGAAAGGCGAAGGGAGTAATGGCATGTACCTTCTAAACATCGAACCCCCGACTACTGCTCTCGCAACGCAATACACCCGTAAATCAACCTCCGTTGACGTTTGGCATCGCCGCCTGGGACACGCCGGTGTCACGTCTATTGTTGAGATGGCAAAGAAAGGCCTCGTCGATGGCCTCGACATTGTGGGAGATGTTGAGGTCCAGGGAAAGTGTGAAGATTGTATCTATGGGAAGCAAACTGCTCGTCCATACGACAACCTGATAGTGCATGAAACGGACGTACTTCAGTGCGTGTATATCGACCTATGGGGTCCTGCACGAGTCCGCTCTACCGGGGGAGCCGAATACATGATGGTCTTTAACGATGGTGGTTCCTCCTTCCGTCAGGGATACTTCCTGACCAACAAGGCCAGCGAGACGACGTTTGACGCATTCGCTGAATTCCATGTGAAGGCGGAACGAGAAACGGGCAAGAAACTTATCCGGATTCATGTGGACATGGGACCAGAATTTTTCAATGACAGATGGCGGGAATACACGAAGACTCACGGCATAATCATCGATTTCAGCGCGCCCTACGCCCACAGCCAAAACGGGATGGCAGAACGTGCGATGAGAACCATCATCGAAGGGGTACGTTGTCTTCTTGTCGATTCCGGCCTACCTCCATCGTTATGGGCGGACGCAGCGGCTACTGTGATCTATTTGCGCAACTTCATTCCCTCCGCTCGTCATCCTGGTGTTATTCCTGCTGAGCGCTGGACAGGGAAGCGTCAGGACATATCTCACCTTCGGCCTTTTGGGTGTACGGCGTATGCCAAGATCCCGGTGGAGATAGGTGTCTCAAAACTGTCACCTCGATCGATCAAGTACGTCTTGATTGGCTATTTTGGTCGTGGTGCCTATAAACTATGGGATCGGGCATCAGGCACCACGATCAAAAGCCGAGACGTCATTTTCGAGGAAGGACAGTCTCACCGCACCATTACAACTACGCCCAGCTCGTCTCACGATACGACCTTCGACGACCTTCCACCTCTTGTACTTTGCGAGGACGAAGAGGATGTCGATGATGGACCAGGGGTCGTTGTTCCACCCAAACCCCTTGCACCTCGTCCACGCGCTACAGATCCACCGCCACATGCTCATCCGCTTCAAGCTCAACCTTTAGCCTCCACTGAAACTCAAGAGGCTGTTGCCACTCCTCTCCCACCTAGGAGGTCTGCTCGTCTCGCTGCTGTTGGGACTGGTGCGCCCCTTCCTCAGACGACCGCATTCATGACGGGTCTCCCTGAGACTTATGTTCCTCAGAACTATAAGGAGGCTATGGCACGCCCTGACCTTTGGATGCCGGCTATGGAGACTGAGTGGGCAATATTAAAGGAGAGGGAGGTTTTCCGGTTGGTTGACCCACCCCCAGGCGCGCATACCATTAACTCCATGTGGGTGTATGCTAACAAATATGACGCGGAGGGGAACATTATTCGCCGAAAAGCACGTCTGGTGGCCAAGGGTTTTTCACAGATCCCTGGCCTCGAATACGACCAGACATACGCGTCTGTCGTTCGACTTGAGTCCTTTCGTATGGTGGCTGCCATCGCCGCCACACTCGGCCTCCACATCTGGCAGGTCGACATCGTCTCCGCTTTTCTCTACAGCCCGAACAAATTCCCCATTTACATGCGCCAGCCACAGGGTTTTGTCAAACCGGGGGAGGAGGGAAAGATCCTAGCGGTTGACAAATCCCTATATGGTATGATGCAAGCTGCGTTCGATTTTCAAGGGCAAATGTCGAGCGCGTATGAGGGACTTGGTTACTACAAATCGATGGCGGATCCATGTGTTCATTCCCGGGTTGATGGGGATGAATTTACTGTTACCAGCACATACACGGACGACGTTTTTGGCGCGTCTTTGACGGAGGCAGGAGCGGTGAAGGCAAAGGACGAGATAGAGAGATGTTTTGAAATCAAGGATGTGGGGGAGATGGGATACATCTTAGGGATTCGCGTCGACAGGGATAAAGAGACTGGTGCGATCTCTTTATCACAAACAGCTTACCTTCAGCGCGTTCTAGAACGCTTCGGAATGGCCGACTGCAATCCAAAATCCACCCCACTTCCTCCCGGAATCTCCCTCTCCGAAACCGACTCACCGAAAACCGACGAAGATCACCACTTTATGAAAGATAAGCCATACCGCGAAGCTTTAGGCTCCTGTATGTGGGCACAGGTAGCAACACGTCCTGATATCGCTTTCGCCGTCAGCGCTCTTTCACGTTTTCAATCGAACCCCGGACCTGCTCATTGGAAAGCAATGCTACACCTCCTCGCGTACCTCAAGGGAACGATTGATTACAAGATCACTTATTCGAGGGGAGGAGACCTTTCCCCCATCGGTTTCGTTGATGCCGATTATGCTGGAGACATCGATACCCGTCGCTCAACGTCAGGATACGTCTTCACTATGGCTGGTGGGCCAGTTTCTTGGAGCTCGAAACGACAGGCGACAGTCGCTCTCTCAACAACCGAGGCGGAGTACATGTCTCTTACGCGTGCCGCCCAGCAAGTTCTATGGATGTATTCTTTCATGTCCGAAGTCGGTTTGACCTGCGACTTCCCCGCTGTACTTTACGGCGACAACGCGTCATCCATCGCACTTACTCTCAACACCAAAGGTCACGCACGCGCTAAACACATCGACATTCAACACCACTACATTAGGGAGCGCATGTCTAACGGAGAGATCAAAGTCGTGCATGTCCCCTCGGAGGACAACATCGCGGATATCCTTACGAAGCCACTTCACCGGATCACACATCAAAAGCTCGTTAGAGCACTCAAAATGGATCTCTAGGTCCTCGCCGTCTGGGGGAGTGTTGAAGAAGACGTCTCGTGACCTTATTGTTTACGCGTACGCTTTGTTTGTTACTCCTTTTTCTCTTTTCTATTCATCTTTTTACTTCCGTTATTTGCTAGTCTTTACGTTTACTTTGCCAGTCTTTGTGCAAGCCACCGTCCCCATTCCTATAAATACGAAAACCCTATTTCTCTTCACCTCAGTCGTCATAACACATCGTGTCTGACTCTGAGGTGAGTTTACTTTATATACATTTCACTTTACTATACTGACTACTACCTGTACATAGTTCCGTGCGTTCACAGGTAGTTACCCAATATGAGTCGTCATAACACATCGTGTCTGACTCTGAGTTCCGTGTGTTCACAACTCTGCTTCTCTACCAGGACCTTCGGCATAGTCGGAATGTAGAGTCAATTGAGGAACGGAAGTCCGTACGCCAGGCCTTGCAAACGTGGCAGAGTAGAAAGGGCGCATGAGCTGGGTTGGGCGTGTCGGCGCTCGGACTGCGCCGCATGCAAAGCAGGAAGATAGCGGCGATAAGTTCTGATGGGAGTTTATGGATTGGCGTACCGGGATGGCGCTGAAGTGCGAAGGAATTGATTTATGTATTCAAATGAAGAAAATGGTAGCGCACCTTCATTGCCACTATCCCAGTCACCGTGCACCAGGTCGAGTATATGGTAGCCGAACAACAGGAGATCGATGGCATCGCCGCCCATGTACATGTATGCTCATCACGTCTGGGTTAGGTGAGGAAACTAGGAGGGCCATCAATAGGTGTCTTGTAGCCGAGGAGAATGAAACAAATGCGACATTCTGGCAGAGATGATGATCCGGGTGAGGTTGGAAACTCAAGCGATAACAGCCCATTAGCGTAAACTAGAGCAGTCTCAGCGGATAACAGTGAACGTAATATCGTTTGGCCTCACTTTAATGTTCAAAGGAGTTGGGCGTTGAGTTGAGGGATATTCCTTCTGTTACTCGTCCCCAATTTGCTTGTGCCCTTGCCTGCCGCTATTTCTGAATGAAGAAATTACCGTTGAGCCTGAAAGTACAGTGAAAGTTGAGTGAAAGTGTCGACAAACACATTTATCACGTGCTGTTTGTGGAATTTTAAAATTTAAATGTTGATGACTTGCCGCAAGCCCCATTGCTCTGAGAACGATGAAGCAGACTCGGGGTACTTTCGTATGTACGTCCTCTTTTCAACGAGTCACTACAGCTAACGAGGTATCGATAGACCAGAATTCAAAACGCTCCGCTTAGTGACTTTGTTTAGTTGTGGAGTCTCAGGGTACGTGCCACAAACAACCTAACCAGGAATTTATGACTATATACACAACAGCGGGAAGGGGCGGGAAGACAATCTGCCAATTGGCTGTGGGAAGTTGTTTGGCCAGCTCCAAAGGTACTGAGCGGAGCGTTTGGAGTTCTGGTCTATCGATACCTCGTTAGCTATAAGTATTGTGCATCAATCACAACCTCATTCTATTATTTTGTCTGGGGCCCGAACTCCTTTGTGCGCTTTTATTCAAACTTGATCGTTCAACTCCATGGCGCCTTATCTGGCAGGAATTCTTCGGAGATCGACCTTGGACCGCATATACCAGCTCGTTAGGTCATCGAATTTCAGAGACATTTTGCGGTGAGTGTTTTGAATGGAAAAATCCTCTCGATTATTTCATTTTCACATCTGAAACTAATACGTTTCCAGATTTACGAAGTGATGGCAAGTTGTGGACGGCATCTCTCAATATCTGACCCCTTGTCGAGCATTAACCCATTATATGCTGCGCGCCACCATCCAAATTCTTCCGCGAAACACCCATCTTCCTTCATCTCCGCCTCCGTTATACGCCGCTCCTCCTCTTCCCTCGTAGATACACCCTGGACCGTTCCGCTAAACGGTTTGTGTAACGTATAATGCACAATCTTTCCCTCATCCACTAACTCTCCCCAAAGTGCAGAGCTCCGTTTTTTGATGGCCAGATTCATGTTGTACACATAGGGTAAGCGAACACCCTTCGCGCCATAATAAACGTTCAAGAAAGCCTGTTCGGCCTCCGTCGGCGGATAACGCGCTGTCTCCATGTTTCTTCTCATATCCTGGAAGACCTCCGTCGAAGGTTTGATGGCGAGAACTCCTGCATTGAAGGAAATGATAAACCCTCGTCGGCCACCATAAACGTCAGGAACCGCAGCAAAACTAAACCCCAACTCAAACAGCTCCTCGAAATTTCGTAGGACGAGTGTGTCGGCGTCAAGATATACAAGACTTTCTATACCTATCTGGTCGAAAGTCCATATGTTGAGTTTGGTATATTGGTCTCCGAATCTAGGGTGTACGCCCTTGCCGTGGTGCGGTGGGGGGATGAATGCAACAGGGTGAGGTTCCCAACCCGCAGCGCGCACGATGCACAACGCATTTGTGGAGACACGCTTTTCCAGATATGGAAGGATAAGCCTCGCGCTGATGTTGGCGGAGCGAATGGAATACCCCAGCACGGCGACGCCTATGGCGTAGCTGTCCGAGTACAGAGTAGATACGACCGCACGATTAGAGCTAGACGAGATTGATGTGCTCTCGCTTTCGAGGGCAACTGGATGAGGGTTTCTGGTGTTCCGTAAGCGTAGTAAACAGGCAAAGTTCAACTGAGGCAGCTTACATCCTTTGATAGTTGTCGAGTGCAGTATATACTGCGTTGGGCGAAAGAATCCTCCAAATGGCGATCACTCCGAGTAGAAGTGTGAGCCCGCCAAGTGCAAAATATCCTTTCTGAACATGCCGTGTTGGTGGATTCGCTTGAGAAAGCGGTTCATAAGTCGAATCCTGGAAGAACCACATGGAGGAAAAGAAACAAGCAATCAGCTAGATGTTTCAATGTAGGACGAGGTGAGACACACCGACCCAAATGTGTAATATTTGAATACATCGTTTAAAGGCAGACATCTGACTCTGAACGACCAAGGAAAATGTGCCGCTTTGGAATTCAGGTTGACTTCGGCGGCTTAAAGGCCGCTAGTGTTGAGGCGACGGTCAACATGATCTACGAGGGGTTGCCTTTCTGGACGCCCCTTAGTCATTGAATATTTATCTGGCAAGTGACAGGACGGTGGGAGATGAGAGAGATTCGGTAAGATCAATATCACTCTGTCTCGTGTGCAAATGACGATATTTTAGTCCAAGAGCGCTCAACTCCTACTGACGAATCAAATCCTTGGGCCAACCACTTAACACCTGGTCGGGTGGGGCCGAGGTTTCGGCACAGATTCAACCCAACGGTGGGTTTCTCGAAGACGTCTGACCCAGGCCTATCCAAATTACCGCCGTATCTCGAAAAAGTGATCATTCCGTCGATAAGGTGGGGACCAGGGAAGTAACGAGGCGGGGCGCGAAGGATTTGTAACAAGATTATGTGGTTGTTGAGTTGTCGGTAGCTCCCGTAGTCCAGATGGGTGATGTTATGGATATGAGAAATAGAATCATGGACCTAGCGTACAACTTTCAGCGATTAACAAAGAAACTGGGTAATCCGCAACCTACCAAGCAAGCCAAGAGGCAGGCATAGCCAGGATAATCCAGGGAATGGAAGAAGAATGATAGATCCTACGCAAGGAAGATTGAAAGGCGACATACGAGCACAAACTCAGCCGCAACACTCGCTCTCTTCATCTCCGAAAACTTGAAGAAGTAAGTCTAACCAAAAGTGAGGCTAGATGAGAGCCTGATTTCTTGTAATCGGAATCGCAGAGTGGCACTTCAAACACAAGGGATTCAGTATGACGAATACGATAGAATGGTACTGGATCCTCACGAAAGTCACATCGAGTCATCAGCTGGCGTATTGGCTACGTGAATGGTTGTGCAATCCGAGACAAATGCTATATAAAGGCTTGATGCAGATGCATGATGGGTAAAGTGGCGATCAGAAGAGATTATCATGATCACGAGGGCGCGCTTAGGCACACTCATGTGATCTAAACGCGTCTATGGAGGACCTTCCCTCTCCCAACCCTCTCCATCTCACCTGGAGACTTATGGTTGAATTACTTAACAAGTAAAACATTCAATAACAGGCCTCACAAAGACCTGGCATTTACTTGTTTGTGCATCACCAGCATATGGACTATGGTGGAAAGTGCAGTTCAAAATCGAGATCTTAAGCCCATGGAACAACATGATCCTGGGCTTTGAATCCACACCATCTCAAGCATTAACAAGTACATGCCATGTAGATTTTACAAAAAATGTCATTCGAGAAGCCGGCTCTTAATGGACCTAATAACTTATGATACCTACACACCATACAAACCATATCTGTGAAACGAACAAATGGCATACTAAGCAGTACACTGGGGGGAGGAAAGTGGGGCATAGGTGGACTCTCTAATGTGGGCTAATAAATTAAGAAAGCGGATTAGTACTACAATATAGAATGATGAAGCATGGGAGATCCAAAGACGTAAGTACATTACTTCTAACCAAATTATTCTGACGCGGGAAATCCTACAATTCTTCATAGGAGTTTGTCCGAGGTTGCTCTATATCTTTCACCTAACAGCCCGTATCCAGATCTCGCCTGGACGACTGAAAGAACATATGTGTCAATTCAAAGACAAGAATTCAACAAGAAGTACCTTTTCTCTCTCAGAACTCTAAAAACCTTCCTATTTTCAAACTGAGCGGGTGGGTGATGCCCATTCACGCCTCGAGGTCGAGATGGAAATACACCTGGACCACAGCGTTCTTGAAGGTCAGCCAGAGCTTCGTTGGTCCCCTCCGTCTCCACAACAATCGTGCCATACCACCCCGAATCAACAAACATGTTCTCCGTCTCAGGGATTGGTACTCGCAGAATTGGTATCTGACCACGGGAGTTGGGTGGTGGTGGCGGATACTTCCTAGTCGGCGGCCGGATGGTGAACGACGACCGGTGAACCCAACGTACCACGTTATGATAGGCTCCTTGCGGTCTGCGCGAAAAGCGTTATCAACTGACAAAAGTCCACGACAAAGAACGATACGCACGTCTCAGTTCTGATACGATCTTGGAGCAGCTGCAGATTGGCAGCAATCTCCTCTCCCCAGGGACTGATATCGATGTGCATGATCGGATTACTGACGGTCGGCCCGGAGCGTAAGACCCTATGGAAATAGGATGGTGGGAACGCCAGAGCCGGGAGATACTTTGGTAGCTCGCCAACAGGTGAATACGTGTAATCGAGATCCTGACAATAGCAAAAATATGAAACTCAATCTCAGCGAAAAGCACGGCAAGCAAACTTACGATGAGATAACTCCCATCCCAAACCAACCGACCCACGTTCCCTTCATCTCCAACAGCAACATCCCAAACAACATCTCCCACCCGCATCAAATGGCGAACTCCGGCGCGTTTACACTCTTCCTCGCATTCTTGCACGCTTTTATCCGAAAGCCAATCACCCTCGATAGACGGCACAAACACGCGCAACAGTGGAGCGCGACGAAGACGGAACAGTGGAGAACGGAAGCCAAGACTAGTTTGCGAAGGCGCCTGCTGCGTCATACCAAGGGGATATCCCTGGGGTTGACTATTCGGTGGTGGTGGAGGTCCATGCCCATGATATGAATGCGAATGTGAAAAGGCGGATGGCGTAGGTGATGGTGCACGGCTGGAAGGCCGAGAAACTGGACCTCTTCCATTGGAAGAGCCGTACGTGTTGACTTTGGTCGTTGACCTAGATGCAGAAGCAGAGGTGGAAGAAGAAGAGAGAGGGGCAGGTGCGTAGAGAGGTTTCGTTCTGGCTATACTTGCCTCCTTCTCGGCTTGAGCGCGAAGTCGAAGTACGACGCGAGTGTATCCGCGAGTTGAGGCGACGAGGCTTCGGACGGCATCGTTCAGGGAAGGATCACGATTGCTGGGGTGGATCGAGAGGGAGTGGATGTACATGTTGGCTACTCGGGTGTACTCATGTGGTGGGATTGATACTCCTCGCATGTAATCGCTGAGATCCTGAACGCGGCAGGGAGACATCAGCTTGGTCATTCAATAGTAATACAAACCCATACCTGAAGTGACAGCGACAGCGGCTCTGGGCCATCCCAGCCCCATCGACCATACCCAACAGTCTTCAAGAACCGCTCGAGCACCTCCTCACGCAGCGGAGGCGACTGCACCAAAAGAATCCGGATCTCTTTGGAGATGCTTGACAGTATACACCACTCGTAGAAATTCGTGTACTCCAAGAGGTTCCTCACCACCTGGTGATGCGACAGGAGCTCCGCCAGATTGAAATAGTACGACGAAACCGGTTCTTCAGCCTCCTCATGCTCCAGAGTCGCATCCGTTCCAGCGTCTGAGTTCCTCTCCTTCCCTTTTTCCTTCTCCCTCCCTCTTTCCCTTTCCCTCTCCCTCTCCCTCTCCAACCTCCTCGCCTCCCTCTTCGCCCTCTTCACATCCTCAGGAGACGCACTAACACCAGCAGGCTCCCTCTGATGATGCGCATGGGACGAAACACTCTCCACCTCCTCATACCCCTGCCCATGTCCATCCACCGTCTCCCCATCATCAACAGACCTTGCCTTCCCCTTCTTAGGCTTCAACATCCTCACACCCTCCACCCTCGCAAACGGATCATCATCCAACTCAATCCCCGCATTCCTCATCGTGTCTTCATCAACCTGCTGAACAACGGCAGGCGTCACAGGTCTAGCAGGCGTCGTCGATTTCTGCGTCTGAGGCGTAGTAGGCCGTACAGTTCTATGCGTCGACGGCGTCGTAGGTCTCCCACCAGAAGATTTCTGTGGAGTCGTAGGCCGCTGTACCTGCGACGATCCCCCCGCCGACTTCAAAGCCGACCTCCCAACAAACTTGTGCTGCATCGAGCTACTAGAAACGGAAGCGTTAGACCCGTCGTTCGTGTGTAACGTCGCCGTTGAAGATCTATCAGGCCCGTTCCGAGTTTTACTCAGCTTCTTGGTGCGAGGTGGGGTTTGCGGTGGTTGTTGAGGGAGTGGTCTGATGGATCCTGTGCTTGCTGTACGCGTGCGTGGGGTACCATGAGGGTCTTGGGGTGGGTAGTGGAATGAAATGGGCGGGCCGGGTGCGTTGGGTTTTTGCGGAGGAAAATGTTGTTGTTGTTGCCTAAGATCAACGCCTACGTTTTGTTGCTGGTTGGTGATGATGAAACCATGTCCTTGACGCCCGACCCCATTCTGCGGATGGATCCCGTTTTGAGGCTGTTGGCCCATCCCATTCATTGGCTGGTGATGAACCATTCCATTCCCCATCTGCTGCTGCTGCTGTTGATATCCCATCCCATTCCCCAACTGCTGACTACCCATCCGTTGTGCAAGTTGCCTCGCGTCCATCCCCTGTTGCTGTCCCAGTTGTCCTCGATCCATACCATTCATCATCGTCTGCTGCTGCCCATTTCCCATCGTCTGCTGCTGCCTATTCCCCATCGACCGCTGTTGCCCACTCATCTGCTGCTGCTGTTGCCCATTCATCATCCGCTGCTGCTGCTGCTGCTGTTGCCCATTGACCATCCCCATCCCGCCCCTCTTCTCCTGACCATGCCCACTCGACGACGGCGGCGACGAAACCACACCAACACCCCCAGCATCACCAATATCAACCGTCGCAGCCATCGCAGTGAATATCCTTGCTTTTCCTTGTACAGGCGCAGGCGCGCCTGACGAAGTCGAGGGTTTTCGTAGTGGTAGTGAGGCGGTGCTTGACTGCGCTTGTGGCGGGATGTTGGAATAATACGACTGGGCGAGTGGGTTGCTGGAAAGTGGTGGTGCAGGTGGAGGCTGGAGAGGTTGAGGTGGGACGTGGAGCTGCTGGAATTGAGGTGGGACTTGATGCTGTTTAGACGTTATCTGCGGGAGAGCTCGAGAAGAAGACGGTCTCGGCGTCGTAGCGCTAGCAGACGCAGATCGGCTGGTGCTCGTGTTCACGTTCACGTTGAACGCATTCGGCGGTGCCGTCGCCGTCGCAGTACTACTCCTCCCAACCCCCTGACTCCGAGAAGACGATGCGCGATTCCCCATCGTATTCGTCGTTGGCTGGTGGTCGGACTGCGACTTTGCAAGCGGCGAGGAAACACGTTCATCTTCACCTTCACGGCTAGCCTAAAACATAAGATCACAAGGTTGAGTTTACGATGGAAGGATGAAGATAAAGTTTGCCTATTCACCGACACCGGAGCTGCTAATGATAATGACCATGGTTTGTTCGATCCCGGCGTCGATCGTGATGGTGCTTCACGTTCGATGGGGTTTGGTGTTGATCGGGATAACGGTAGTTCGTTCGACCGCTGGTTCGAAGGTTCCTGTCGAGCAGACTTCGCGTCTTGTTGAGTCTGCTGCTGAGCACCTCGAGCGTTAAGGGATGATTGCGGACTTGGATTTGTAGCGTTGTATTCCTGTAGATTTACGGTCTCGTTAGTGACCCAAACGAAAGGGGGGGAAAGAGACGAGCGGTGAAACGGAGTAAGAACGTCTCAATGGGAAGAAAGCACTGCCGATCAACAGACCGAGCAGAATCTGCCTATACCGGCCCCAAATCACGGCCAACAAAAATAAAAAGGCGAGATTTTCACGGAGTGAAGTGAATCCGGATGAACAGGCGTATGGGGGAACTGACACGAGGGACATAAAGGGGAAGATTAACCTAGAGCCCAAGCACGATCTAGGGTGGCGTCATGATCCCTTGATCAGCCCAGAGGAGAATCACGAACGGGGAAAAGGGACGGTGACGGAAAAGGGAGCAAAGGGATTGAATACGAACACGAAAGCTCACCTGAAACATAGCAAACTCGGGAGCCAGCTCACTCCCACTCGCACCCCCACTGCCCTCCTTCTCCATCTCCCTCGACGACCTAGACGACGCTCGTAGGTCACTCACATCCAACCGTGACCCAGATGCATGCGGCGCTAATGTTTGACTGCTCGCATTGGAACTCGCATTATGAGTATACGCCGACAATCCCGGTGGGTTCAGCTGCGTTTGACTCTGTGACGAAGGCGGTAGAGGTAAACTCCTCGTCGGGGGAGTCGGTGAAGACGGGAACGAAAGAGGAGGTTGTGACGTTCCAACGACGTTCCCATTCGGAGAAGGAAGCGGCTTATCCTCCAACCCAACCAACGAACTCCGCCAAGCCCGCGCAGCACTCTGTTGCGTCGTATACGTAGGCGGGGGACCAGGCGGTCTAGCGCGCTGGGTGCTGCTCTGAAGCGAATACGTCGATTGATTCGGGAGTGAAGGTGCCCTCGACGGTGCGGGCTTCGCAGACGGAACTGTCACGACGATTCCACGCGGGTCGTTCCCTGCAACTTGACTATTACTTCTCCTTCTGTTCCCCCCCTCTAACCCACCACCACCACCACCGCGGTTCGACGCTGCAAGCGACATGGGCGAGGATACGATTCTGGGAACGTCATCCGAATTCTTCGTAGTGGCGAATCTAGCAAACAGCGGTGGTGTCCCTCCTCCTTTCGTTTTCGTTGTCGTTGTCGTGGTTGCGTCCACCACCGTCGCGGGTTGTTTATTCTTTCTGCGAAGGAAACCAGCCATCGCTTTCTTCTGTTGGTATGTAGAATGATTAAGTATATAGAATTGAAGACAAGTAAGAAGAAGCCTCGAGGCGGGCGGGTGTCATGGGTGGGTGGGGAAATGAAAAAACCGACTTCAATTGAGCGAATCAGGAGAAACAACACAACTCGGATAAATTCTTGTTTGCCACTTGGCTTGGGAAACAAATTGTGCCTGATATTTCTTGCACGGAACCAATTTCCTTGCGAGAAGGGGACTTGGCTTGTCGTTAGATGAGAGAAAACTAAGTGTTGATTGGGTCGTTTTTCGGTCTTTTTTTGTTTTGTTAGAGACGAATTCGGCGCAGTAAAACGTGGGCTCGACTTCTTTCGCTTTTGATCTTCATCCGACCGAGGACGGAACGGCAATCAATGCGGTGGTTACACCGACACACTTGAACTACGAACTCTCCGAATTCTCCAAATATATAGTTGTGCACGACTCAAAACCGTGCCATTCAACTCTCAATCCCAATCTCAGTAAGCCATTCATATATGTACGTCGACCAGGAAAAAAGTTCACCCCTTTTTCAAGAATCACCACCATATCACCACCAATTGAAGGCATCCTGCGTACGTCTCATAGATTCCGATCATGACACTTGCGATTCCGAGTATCATCGTAAAATCAAGGGCCTCCGAGTCACAAAAACCACCCAATTGGCCCAGGACACACTCTTCGTCTGGGAGTCGAACCCAGTTATCGCGTCCAATTTCCACTCTACAGAACTCAAACAGAAACACGTGTGTTACCGTTGCACCAACGAAGATCTATTCATTGTGAGGCAATAATAATGTAAATAATGTTACCATTACTAAACTACTTGACTAAAAATTGGAGGAGCCCACACCCTTCGTCTGGGAATCAAACCCAGCCTCGCATATGCACATTGTTTTTTTGCCACTCTGCCATTCATGTACGCGTGTGCTACCTATACACCAATGAAGGACTTGACTGGGTAAGTACAATTTCAGATTTAGTAGTAGACTGTAGCAGTGATGCTGTCAACATGTATACCTCTGGAAGGGGATTATAGTGCTAAGTGGGTGTTCATTGCTGTTTATATTATTTCTCATCACCTCTACAAAAAGTTGGCTGCTTGAAATGAAATAGACTGTTGGGACATATAAAACAAGTGGTAATAAGGACTTATATACAATATGATCTCTCATCTGGGAGTCGAACCCAGCTATTGCCCACCCTGGAAGGTCATGTTCTAAACAATGACAGGCATACATGCACCGACCATTGGGCCAAAGAAGACCTTCATTCTATAAGAATAAACCAACCTGTGAGTAATTCCCTCCAGTCAAGCAGACAAAATCTGATAGAAATGAAGAAACCAATAGTCTTTTTCCTGGGTGGTTATATTACCAAAGACAAATTGGGACAACAAAATATGAAAGAAATACAGCACCTACAAAAAATCCATGATGAGTAAGCCCGAGGTATGAGAGCAAGCCCATCTTAGGTTAGATAATGCTTGCATCAGAACCAGACATTTCTCACATGTGTAAACACCAATGTTTCTGGGAGTGCTTCCCCCCATCACTTCAGATCTGGTTCTGATGCTAAGAAATTGCCTGTCAGTCATCTTCCCAAAATTTTTTGAACCCACCCAGGGCCACCATCCCTTTAGCATCCAAACAGCCAGTTGGTTTGGCTAGCACTTACCACAATTGAGCTTACTGGATGCTCAGATGTTGTTTGCACCTTCTTGAGTCTGAGCAAGGTCTATGCACAACCAAGTTAGTCATGCACACAAATTTCTTGGACCCTTCCTCTGTAATCTATGCAACAGTCATCTTATCCATCACTACTACATTCATATATCTCTGTCTGGGAATTGAACCCAACTCTCACATTAATGCTCCACACTTGAGGATGAATTTTCAATGTGTATGCTACCCAATGCACCAACAGCTCTGATTGATAAACATCCTAAAATCTAGGAGGGCTGCCTATACAGCAAAGTCTAGGGTTATTTTGAAAAAACCAGTTCTCATGTGTATATGGTGAACACTCCATCAAGTTCTCTATATTTACTACTACTTCTCAATGTCAGCAGGGTATTATGAGAAAAAATCAAAATCAATTTTTGAGTACTAGACTTGTAAAAAAAAAGTGAGAAGTGAATTTTTTGGAATCTTTTTTGCATTTTCAAAACAAATTGAATAATTAACATGGAAAAACATAGTTACACTGACAGAGCACTATTATTGAGGTGTGCAGTAATTACTAGATTATTCAGAATAAAAAGGCAACTACTTATAGCCCTCATGTCCAACTCTTCATCTAGGAATTGAACCCAGCTATCATGTATCCACACAGAGGGTCTCAGATCCACACATTGAGTTTGCAAAGTGCACACGCGATGTCACATGAATGGAGAATTCCCTCCACTCTTGATACACCATGTCCAAACTTGTTTGAGCATCCCATTGAACATTAGGGAAAATAATTTGATCAATGCTGCCTTGATTGTGCAGAGCAGATATTCAAACGGTCCTTTGCAGTTCCACGTAATTTGTCCATCCATGTGCCTGTGCATGGTATGCCTTCTCTTGTGTTACACAAGGGGCAAATGGCTTTTGTCACCAGGTAAAGAGGCGCTAAACAGTAAACAACTATGTTAACTCATTTATTCCACATTTGCAGCAAAAATCATCACTTAACTAAAATTAAAATTTTCTTGCTCATGGTTTTTGCAGAAATGAGTGATAAAAATAAAATGTTGTTGCTGGAGTAGGAAGATAAAGGTTCACACTGTTTTGCCACAGCAACAATGATGAGGTAACAATTCAATGTTGTTGAAAGCTTGTTCTGACATAAGGAAACACGAACAAAAAATGTACATATTTGCCAAGCAATGAGGTGATCTGGCCAGCATAGGATCGTCTAATTCCCTGGCAATTAGTTAAATTCTTTGTTCCATTTCCTCGTGTCAGGAACAAGCTTTCAATGGCATTAAATCATTGCTTTATCATTGTTGCTGCAGCAAAACAGGTTGATCTTTATCCTCCTACTCTGGCAACAACATTTTCTTTTTATCAATCATTTCTGCAAAGATAATGAGCAAGAAAATTTGAATTTTATTTAACTGACCATTTTTGCCACAAATGTGGAATAAAAGATTCAACGTAGCTATTTACTGCTTACTCTTTACCTGGTGACAAAAGCCATTTGGCCCTTGTATTAGCTCCATTCTCCTCTCTCCTACCCTGACTATATCATCTGCAGGCAACATACGGAAGTTATGGATTGCCACCACAATCATGGACCTTGTGTATATGAATATTTATGCACATGTAGTATCCTAAATAAATAAAAATAAGGTAAAAGTCCTGATACCCCCCACATGAAAATTTGGCAGAAACATCCATGATACTGTCAGTCAGTTTTGCTATGAGTTTCATGCCTTTGGGCTCGAATCATGATGATTTTACAAACTCTTTTTGCCAACTATTTAGCAACAAAGCTGGTTGAAGGACACAAACTGTTGTGCATAAAATTCAAGTTTTGGAGACATTTTCCATATACATATGTCCGAAGCTAGGTGGCTATGAGGTTATTTTAGTAAATAAAAGTTGCTGAACCATCCAATGCCATCTTGCTGCATGTGCAACCTTGTCAGAGCCAGCCAAGGCACTCCAAAGCTGCCTTAGCTGCTGCTACTTTTGCAGTGTACTTGGTTTTTCCAGTCCCTTGACCACACTTGATCTCATCCACTGCAACCGGGGAGGTTACTAATTAGGATTGTATGTGAATAAGAGGTCTTACCATATACAGTCAGAGTCCAAGTTGGGTCATGCTCGGGACCTTCACTGAGTTCCTCATATGCTACAGATATTCTACGCGTCTGGCAAATGTTATTAAGGACCACAGGGTATCCTAAAATGAGAGATTGAGTTGACAAGATAGATTGGACCAGGCATGTAATGACTTACTATGCTTGTATATCCCAGTCAACACATTAGTGACAATTTTTCGAAGGCATCCCTTTTGTAAAGGTAGTTCCTTGATGTCGAATATTTAATATTTTCAATTGGGTCACAGAAGGACAAAGAATGGATACACACTTTTACTGCACCTTCCAAGAGCAATAATTGTCTATGAAGTAGATCCAAGTTTCCTTCAAATGAGTTTGCAAATATCTCACCCCACGCCAAGGGCCACTGGCCGTTTGAATCATGAAAGCGATGTATGCCAGATAAAAAGACAGTTTCATAGTGCTCTTTGAAAAATCCCTTCAACAGATCCACTAGATTGCTGCAGTGTCTCTGCTCGCAAATCTGATTAAGAGCAAGGAGGTGATTATGCCAGTTACCCCAGGGATAGCCATCGATAGAAAATTCATACAACTTCCTCTCAATATGGAACTCCTGGAAGCAGTCATCCAACAGGGAGAGATGTTGCATGATGGAATCAATGTAGAAGTGCAGAGAACGATCTCTTTTGGTCAAAAAGTCATGTAGTGATGCATGAAAAAAGGTGATTATTCCAGAGTTTGATTCTGGGATGCAAAGAATTGATTTGCAACCCATCAGCAATTGACGAAGGTGGTCCGAGTCTTTAAGCCGTAGGAACATGGAAAGATTCATTATAGAAGGTTGAGTTTGCATGAGGCAGAGTGCACCCAAGATGCGCATGAAGTCTGGGTTAGCAGAATATGGTGCATCCGATAAAACCTGGAGGTAAAGCCCATCAAGGCCATTATGCTGCATCATCGCACTTTTCAACTTCTCTGCTGGCAGTATAGGAACCTTGTACTCCAATTTTTGAGTTACGAGTATAGGATCCTTTGGCCCCATCTCACCGACGAACATGACAAGAGTGGAAGCGTAAATAAACAGGCCTTCCGAATTTTTGACGAGAGATTCGATGTCTTCCGGGGATGGCCACGGTTTCTTTACATTCGTCAGGTAATCTGATAGTTTGATATTTAAAGCCTTGAATTCTTTTTCGAAGAATTGTCGGATATC